GGGAGATGTGAAGTAGAGTAAAGAGTGACGAAGAGAAATGCGTCATTATATGCTCTCGATCTTCAGCAGTTGATTACATAAGCAACTATAATATGAGTCGTCAACTGATAGAACATTTCAATTATTGTATTTAGGTATAAAATAAAATAATTAATCTACTTTGTAATATAGTAAAAAGTAATATGACATGTATATAGCTTTCTAAACACACTAATGTAATTATTACAAGTAGATGAAATGCTTTTTACAATAATTGTAAACTATTTGTATAGATAGTCTAAGTATGATATACATATTATATACTTATAGTATACTTTTATTAAGATAATAATTATATAACAAGTGCTCTTACACTATTATATACATTAATATACCTTTTACATAAATTATAAGGCAACAATAGTTATTGTTACATTATTATATTGTAAATATTACCCTTTCTTTAAAATTATAATAAAAATGTAATGCAAGCATAATACTTTAGGCTATTATACAAAGTTAGTATAATACTTTTAATAGATTGTATTCATCCATAACACTTACTTAGCCTTTATATACATTAACATGTCTTATACAAACTTTACAATTGATTTGCAAGTCTTGTAATTACTTTACAATATATATACAATATTTATGTTACTTTACAAAGTCTACAATATATTATAAGAAATGCGACTTTTTCCTGATGTGTGACTGGGAAGGCAACATACTAGTGATCTTGTGGATGGGCTGACAGACAAGTGCTTGTGCACGTGGAGACAGAAGAAAGTTACCAGTAGATTAATGTGCAATCTGGGAGATGAGCCGAGATCAATTTCATGTTGATGTGGCTGGGAGCGAAGGTAACATGCAGTGGTCTCATGGATGGGCCGACAGACAAGTGCTCGCGCATGTGGAGACGGAAGCAAATTACCAGTGGATTAATGTGTAATCTGGGAGATGAGCTGAGATCAATTTCATGTTGATGTGGCTGGGAGCAAGATTAGTGAGAAGAGAAAAGAAAGAGACTTTATCAGCAGGCATCTAGCTGTAATCTGAAATAGGACTGAATTGACCCCCTGCTCTCCTATACAATACATTACAGGAGACTATCTTGTAATGAATAAAGTTGGGAGACACATTAGGGGCTCTCAATTCTTTGGAGAAGTGTGCTAGGAGGATCCCCAGTGGAAAAGGAGTAGCTAAAGAGCCTACATACCCAACCTACCCCTTAAAGAAATTGAGGTCGATTGATGGGTCCACTTTGTGATCCATTACTCTTGTAATAAGTTAATCATAACTTGAATAAATTTGGTAGTTCCTTCCAAAAACAGACAAGACAGACTACTGTATAAATACTGAAATGAAGAGCGAAAAAAATTCTGCCTGTCTGCTGTGCATGTAAATGGACACAGACAATGAGAGAGACAATATATATAACCTCTAGCAGTATTACTTGTTTACTTGTCTGGAGTACAGTTTGGTGCATCCACTCTAAGTGTATATAGTCAGTTGTTTAGTCTCAGATACAGACTCAAGTATAGTACCTCTAAACAGTATTTACAATCCTTCTAGCAATCTTGGCTGTTTCTAACTAATATCTCAGTATTCACCTAGTTTTTGGCTATCCAGTATACCTACTCTACTACTGTACATTACTACCTACCTCTCAGTATATTCAGAACAATGAACTCTACTCCTAGTATAGAGTATAGAGTATATATTATTGGTTTGCATGTCTTACAGTAAGGCAATACATAAATGGATGCCCAAACCAACACTTTCTGGACCCACCTGTATAATTGTAAGTCTGGTGAATACGTATCTCAACCGTCTCTTTGTTTGAACATAATTTCTAGTCATTGGTTTGAACGTGGAGGATGGTTGTTTCTAGACATGTTAAACGTTCTATTCAGACTGTCCACGCTTCAGTGGCTTCACACACAAAAACAGCACATCACGTATGTGCCAACGTGGGAAAATGACACCAATTGCACGCTTCGTAACATTCACTATTTGCGAATAGAAATCTACAAAAAGTCGCAGAGAACGCGGTGTCCCATTGGGGGTATCGCCAATCGATGGTGGCTTCATGTTCGGCTCACCCAATCGAACTGTAACTCATCTTCTTCCCACCTCGACAGATATACATGAGTAACATGACTTCCTTAGCCTTCCCGTCAAACGAGAAGTACCTCCTCGTCGGCACATCTGGCGACGCGCATTACGAATTAGAAGTGTTCGAAGGCCACCTACTCGCCAAATTAAAAGAAAGGCGATCAGTGGGGAAGAAGTTTCGTGAACACCCGATAGCAAGTCTGTGGTGAGCGGAAACCTTGACGGAAAGATCTGTATATGGGACGCGCCGAATCTACCCGTGCGTCCGAACGAACCGATAGACCTTAATAGGAGCCCGTTGGTGCTGCAATCTATAACGACGCTTGAAGGACATCCTGGGCTTGCGCGGTGTGTGCGATTTAATCCTGGACTTGGGACGACGGCGGTAACAGAATTGGTGCGTTGCATTGCTGATAACTTCCTACGTCTTGGCCGGCCCTGACTGGCTAATCCTTTTAGGCATTCTGGCTGCCTGATATGGCTGGAGATGTTATGAGAAAGTCAAAGAACACTTCAAAAGGAAACTCGCGAGTCGACTCTGTGACAAAGAGCCTTTCTTGACTATGACACTTGAAGACCCGTTATTGAAACTCACTTCCTTCCCGACGAAAGGGAGAAGTGGGGGAGAAGTCTGGGCTGCTGATTGCAAGTTCGTGGTAAGTGGAAGTCTTGATGGCAATATTGGCATATGGGATGTCCGGAACCTCCCTGCACGAGCGAATAAGCCTACAGACCTCGATAGGAGTCCGCTGGTGCTACAACCAATGACGATATTGGAAGGGAGTCCTGGTCTTGCGCGATGTGTGCGGTTTAATCCTAGACTTGGAATGATGGCGGCGGCGGGAGCGGAATTGATACGTTGCATTGATAAATCTCCTTCGTTTAGAGTACTAAAAGACTAATTGTTTGTAGGCACTCTGGTTACCTGACACGGCTGGAGAAGGGTCCGACGAAGTCAAAGAACATTTCAAAAAGAAGCTCGCTGAGTGAACAGTCCCAAAATTCCATACCTCAGCGCGTCGACGCATTCCTGTCTCTGCCCGGTTTTACTTGGGTATTATCAATAAAGGCGCCTTTCGCATAATGTGTCGTTATGAGTTTCTTCGCAGTTCTTATCACAATAGGCCATGGAGCATCTTTGACATTTATATCGCCCCCAATATCCACAGACGGTACATAGCAACCGGGGTGGCTCAGTAGGTGGCGGTGCCGCTGCTGTGAGGTACGTTGGTACGTTAGGCGGAAGTTTAGCAATTCCCTGCATGTTCAATTGTTGACATGATTAGCATTGTATCAAAAATAATTTGCAGTTGCAATTAAAGATGATACAAATGATATGAGAAGCGAGTATGAAACGCACAGATTCTTCAATCAAAGTCGCCAAGTTCTTCCTATACACAAGTGCATCACGTACGTTCTTTGATTGAGCCTTCTTGCGCGCTCCACCGTCGATGATGCGTTTGTCGGAGATGGTTTCGCGCGCACGGCCCCGGGCACTTGCTGCACTTTCGCCGAGACCGATACCGGCGAGTGAGGCTGTTGGTTCGGTATAGTTGGTTCTCTGTTATAATTTTGAAAGCAGATGTGTTAACAATGGATTTGTAGTGATGACGGGGTGAAAAGATGGAGTTAGCTGACCTCGAGTTCCTCGAGATGTCTCTTCGTCCTCTTCTGAAGTAGCTCTGGTGACAGGGCATTGTAAGTTGTACCACCTTGGGACTTTCGGCGAGCAGCTGGGGTGTGACAAGTCAGTAAAAGTACAGGCAATTGAGGAAACATACTAACGTTGTTTTCGTTCCGACGGCGCCATATCACGATCAAGGTCCAAAAACTCACAGAAAGAATGGACGGATGTGACCGAAGAGGTACTATTAAAGCACAGAGAACGAGAGTTTAGTTTATAAGATTAAGATTCCCAAAGTTATGTAGAGCCTCGGCTGAGCCTCCCAAGAACTAGGTGGAGAGCTTGTATTCGGATAATAGAATAGGGGTTTTAGTGACTTTGCAGGGAAGACGGTGTTCGTATGACTGGTTTCTTCACATTCAAGCCCAATCCTATCCGGACACGGTGAAGCTAGTTGCAGTCCTGTCTTCCTCAGGATGAGATCTCGCGCAAGCGGAACGTATGAAACGTTGAAAGGAAATTAAGAAAACTCCTCCAGAAGTATGATATGCACGTGACCGAGAATAAACTTCCGTCCCGAAACTCCGAAAGCTACCGAGTTAAAAAATGCGATTTACCTGAATTTTGTAGTCAACATTGGCCAAGGCAAGTCCAATGGAGATCAATCTCTTTATGAGGTGACAGCAACCTTACGCGTATTGCTGGATGTCAGTCCTGAATATAATAATGCTCCACAGTCCAGTAAACAAATTATTATGTAATACGGCTAGTAGAAAGTACAGAACGAAATTGCAGAGACCGAAAAGAGGTGAGATGATCCTATACAGACTAAGAGATATTGTGCAAATCGAATTGAGGAGAGCGGATTAGAATGGATATAGAACCCAGGTTTTGAATACCAGAGATGAAGGAAGAAAGCAATTGGACGAATAGAGAAAACGGAAGACGCGGTTGATCACATGAAAACATCAAGATCATTAAATTCGTCGAATAACGATGGATCAATCTCATCTGGCATCTGGATGAGAGAAAGTGACGAAGCTTGGATTGGAGATGCCCACTCGTCCGACAGTGCGAAAAGTAGCGGTTCGTCGTAGTTTATCTCAGGGAACGATTCGTGCTTCAGAGTACGTTCGAGATGCCGCGAAGGTTGTGATGGACGCGACGGAGAAGGTGATTGAGGTAGAAAATCGGGAAATCTGGGTGTAAATCCCTGGAGAAAATGATATGAGAATATTTCTCGAATAGTGATGTTTAGGCCTCACCTTGGGTGTGGTAGGTGTCTGAACAAACGGCGAGTAAGGGGTACGCGGCGTCGCAGGAGACGAGGCACGAGAAGAGTTCGGGAATGAACTGGTCGAAGGTGAAGACAATGTCGGCGTGGACGGTGTTAATGTCAACTCCCTATCCTCCTTCTTCTGTTCTTCCTTCTTCTTCTCCGCCTCGGCGAAGAATTTCATCCGCACTTCCGCAGATTCGCCCTTCCACATGAGTGCAGCCATCCGAGACGCGTCGTTCTGATGCTTGACGTCATCGGGAAGCAAGCCGTTTGCGATGACATATGAACGGTAGAGGAAGAATGCATTGGATGGTTTCTTCTTCTTCGGGGACTTCGTGGTGGGAGAGGCGGAGGCTCTGTACGAGGAAGGCCGCGGAGGGGTCGTGTATTCAGAGTCACCTCGGGTCTGGTAACCTAAAGTACATGTCAGTATACAGAGGAGTCATGTTTTACAGTGATACGTACTGGTTGCACGACAAGGAGCAGGAATGTTGCGAACGGTCGGCATGGCTCAAGATCAAATGGAGGTGCAATAGCCTTCTGAAGTCTCGCTGGCAGGAATTGTTGGGGAGCATCCCATCCCGCCGAAAGTCAAGCTTTTCTACCCTCCACGTCCATGTACACATGGTAAGTGTCTCTTGATGCTATGCAATACCAGAAACAGCGAACTATGGGACGATTTGAGACAGGACTGCCGCGTGCCTTCCAGATGAGGTAACTCCTGGACCATCACAATGAGCGTAGTCGAGCGCCTCGTGGCATTGCAAAGGACATATTGGTGCCCATTGTTATGAAATGCTGACAAGAGGCTGTTCGTACGTGTAGAGTATAGTATAGTTTAAGAACGTAGAAAGGAGAATCTGAATGGGGGATCAACATCTGATCTCGGACCGACGATAATCACAAAGGAAGAACTTGCGGTGGAAATTACATACTTGTTTTAATTTACAGCTGGAGTGCCGTCACTAACCGGGCTTTCCTCTAAGAAATCAAAGTTAGAAAGAGATGTAAGTTGGAGCTGGCGGGTAGCCTTACCGCGATCGATGTATATTCCAGGACCGGGGACCGGAGGTAAATTGCTGAACCTTGCTGAGTTCCATCCATAGTACTTAATCATGCATGTCTATTTATGGACAGTGTCACATGACCTGCCGAAAGCTTCGTCACTTGCGAAATTTCAGGTTTGTTCACCAACTACATCAACCAACATCTCCGACGCGTTCAGCAAGGTAGAATCGATATTCTAGTGACGCTGGACAAGCTCTTTGTCACATTGGAAGGGTAATATTGGCTATAGATGCTTGCAGACTCGAATCTGGGTCTGTAACTGACCTCTATCGGCAATAAACACTTGGAAACGCTGTCATTAATTGAGGTGTCCTTTCGAGAGCTAACTTGCCTTTCGTACAACGCGTCGAACTGCTCTGGACTCTTGAAACTTGGTAATTATGGTGACTCTCAGGATGATCTCCCGCGGTGCCCAGAGGCAATTCTCCACATCGCTATACTCGTCGCCGTTACGACCGAGGAGGAGTATGTTCTCTCCTTATTCGCAGCCATTTCGTCGGATGCATGTAAGGGCTTTATCATACACGACTATACCGAGACTTGTGGCGCGTGCCTTCAAGGTGCCTATTGCTGGTGCAACAGTTGGGGCTGGAGCTCTGGGCTATGCAAACTACAAGTTTGAAGGTATGTTTGGTAGCCGAAATGCGTGTTCGCGACAACTGATCCAGTGCCTTCAGAGCTTAAGAGGACTACAAGCGGCTGGATGACCACCGTCCAGGAGACAGCAACGGACGTATTTGACTCTGCATCGGATGGTCTAAAGGCTGCACAATCACGACTATCGGACGTTCATTTTCCGGATGTAGAAGCGCCTCAGTTTCTAAAGGACCTGTTTTCTTCTCGAGAAAAGGCAAGCGGTGAAGATTCTGGACGAAATAAGGGCGAGAATGGCGGTCAATCGGGTGGCAAGCCCCCTGATGGTGAAGATGCCGCAGTTGCGGCTCTCGCGGCTGCTACTCTTGCAGCCCCGTCATATTCATCCGAGGGCGAGGATGAGAAAGGAGAAGCGGTGATCGGACCAAATGAGCTCATGCATCTGACAAAGAAACTCATTGGAATACGGACTATGTTACTTGAAATCGACCAGAACGACGCGTTGAAACTACCGAGTATTGTGGTCATCGGTTCTCAGAGCTCTGGTAAGAGTTCGGTTTTAGAGGCGATTGTTGGTCATGAATTTCTTCCCAAGTAAGTAGAGTATTAGTTTAGTACTTCATTTCTTACTGATCATTCATAGGGGAAACAATATGGTGACTCGACGGCCGATTGAGTTGACTCTGGTACATACGCCTGCCAAACCTGGAAGTACACAACCGCAGGAATACGGCGAGTTCCCTTCATTAGGTCTTGGGAAAATCACGGACTTCACTCAGATCCAAAAAACTCTGACGGACCTCAATCTCGCCGTTCCTGCAAGCGAATGTGTCTCGAATGACCCTATCGACCTTCGTATCTACAGTCCAAACGTACCAGATTTGACCATGATCGACCTACCGGGATACATCCAAATTTCGTCGATGGACCAACCGGAGACGCTAAAAGAGCAGATCGCTGCACTCTGTGATCGTTACATCCGCGAGCCGAACATCATTCTCGCTGTTTGTGCAGCAGATGTCGATCTAGCTAACTCACCAGCTCTCCGGGCTAGTCGTAAGGTTGATCCTCTGGGGATGCGGACAATCGGAGTGATCACGAAGATGGACTTAGTATCACCAGAACAGGGTATAGACATCTTGTCTGGGAATAGATACCCTCTTCATCTTGGTTATGTTGGCGTCGTTTGCAAATCTACGGGAAAGAGACTTGGGAAGGAGACGACGGGTGAACTGGTCAAACGAGTAGAAAATGATTACTTCAGCCAGCACAAGGAATATTTCAAGAATTCGGCTATAATGACTAGCACGTCTACGCTCCGGAGACGCCTCATGGAAGTCTTGGAATCGTCCATGGCTTCGTCACTTCATGGCATTACCAACCAAGTGCAACTAGAACTCGAGGAGGCAACTTACCAGTTCAAAGTGCAATACAACGATCGCCGAATCACAGCGGAGTCGTATGTCGCCGAGACCGTCGATACGTTAAAGGCACGCTTCCGAGAGTACACTTCGCAATTCACACGTTCCCAACTTCGTGCAAAGCTCAAGGAGCTGCTGAACGACAAAGTGATGGACATCATGGAGCAACTTTATTGGTCTGATAACAGAGCCAGGGAGCTGAACGCTCTTGCTGCAGACTCGAAGGTCAAACCAGAGGAAGTAGAGCCTTACTGGCGATATAAGCTCGATGCCGCTAGCTCGTTGTTGACTAAATCTGGTGTTGGACGCGACACAACTCTGCTTGTGGCAGACGGCCTCCGCGCACTCATCGACTCGATAGCTTCTGGTGAACCGTTCTCGCATCATCCACGAGCTGCAGAGCGGATCGTAGCTTTCAGCCATGCCATCCTACGCGACCGCATCGGTGTAACCGCCGACCAAGTTGAAAACTGCATAAAACCATACAAGTATGAAGTCGAAGTTGACGAACGCGAATGGGAGCTCGGACGGTCCAAATCAGTGGAAGTGATTGAGAAGGAGATTGGCATGTGTGAGGGGAAGCTGAAGGAGATCCGACAACGTGTTGGTGGGAGTCGACGATTGAATAACTTGATGGGTTATGTCAGAGTTATTGAAGAGAAGGAGAATGAGAGGAAGAAGCAGAGGCTTATCGCGCAAGCGCAGGATGAGGAGGCTCCTCTTCCTGAGCCTGAAGAGATTCACTATAGATATAGTCCCGGTCAAATGCTCGATGGTATGTTATTTCCCGTTTCGTAATACTCGATGTCGTTATTTATTGATTTACCATTTTAGCTAAGCACGCCCAATCTTATGTCGACCGAATCGGCATCCTCAAGCTTCGCCTCTCGACTCTGAAGTCGAAACGCTGCAAGGGTGGTCCGAACAACGATGTACTCTGTCCTGAGGCATTCTTGGACGTTGTAGCCGAGAAGCTCGCATACACGTCTGCTCTGTTTATCAGTATCGAACTTCTTGACCATTTCTTCTACCAAGTAAGTTTTGTATTTATCGTACAAGCAATACATTGATTGACCTTCCTTCAGTTCCCACGAGAAATTGATTCACGACTAATTTACGACCTTGACCGCAAGGAGATTGTCGCGTTCGCGAAGGAGAACCCTGCAATTCGTAAGCATCTCGAGCTGCAAGATCGTAAAGATAAGCTCGAAGAGGTGAGCCAGCCATCTTCTTTTCTTGTGTCCTAGAATTAACGCCTGTGGTGTAGGTTATGAAGCAACTAAATAGTCTCACGCATCTTCGTAAAGACGCTCAACCGACTCCTCGGCGAACAAAAGGTCTCTTTGGAAACATGTTCTGAGTCACCTTCGACTGTCCCTACTCTGCTGTTTTATGATCCTCTCCGTACATCCTTAGGTGTTCTCACGTCCTCTTCATGAAGTAGATGTTTATTTTTCGTTTTATTCCGATCTCCTCTCAATCATTATTACGACTTCGTTTTTAATCACATATTGACAATACTAGGGGTTGTATAGTATCCTTCGTATATTACAGATTCTTGCAGGCAGTGGGAGGCAATTGCCAGTTTAATCTATAAGCCGTTTTTTCAATTCGGCCAAATTGAGCCTCTCATAATGCATATCAGAGAATATGTCTGAATACGGGAAATCTCCTTCGTATTGCCTATTGTCTGACCCTGAAGCCGACACTTCCAGCCAGGAATTTAAACGCTATACGAGGGCAGGAAAGACAAGATAGTACAATATCTAAAAAGTGGTACGAGCATTTGCACTGACTGATGACCACGTGTACATACTATTTCCTTATATGACGAAGAACGAAAACAATCGCGCAAAGGAGGAGTTTATAGTCTCCCTAAAAAGGTAACCATCAAAGAACAGTGGCGAAAGCATGCACTGGCAGCGCACAGCGGTGAAAATTTAAAAAGCACTTATATACTGAGACTAGGGCTGCGCGATGATGGTCTACCCCTTTATTCGAGCTTCTCGCCCCCTCATAACGTCGCTATCATACTCTACTACCACTGTGCAATGTCTGCGATGACGGATTTCGCGTCTTTACGCCACGCACTGGAGTTGAGTAAGTATACCTACCTCGCTTCGCCTTTGGTTTGCTCCTCTATCAACTGAGCGAATTCCTGCCGTAAAACTGCATAGTTACATCGGCTGAGTCTGACGAGGCGCAATGCAATCTCTCTGTCCACCAACCTCAAAAATGCGTGCGTATGCGTATGCTGCACGAGACGCCTTATCGTAGCAAGCAAAGAGAGGCTTTCGGGTCATTTTCCATTCGTCATTGTCGCATTCCTGCTGTCAAAGCCAAGGCCAAAGCGCGTATGGAGGACGATACGGACAAGAGCGAGGCTGAGCAATGTGTTGTGGCGGAATTGGGGAGTAGAGCGTCCACGCCTGCACTTTCTGAAACATCAGCATCGGGAGAATCGGAAGAGGGCGAGAAGTTAGAGAGTCAAGCGGAAAGACAGAATATACCCGCCACACCTGCGCTCACTTATACGTCTGAGTCTGCCGAATCGTATCATGTTTCCTCAGCAACACCGTCGTTATCATTGTCCGCTTCCTCTTTAGACGATGAATTCGACATGCCACCTACTCCACAGGTAAGAAGGGTTAATTTCCACCCCCTAGTACCCGCTAACTAATAACTACTTTGACATATTTTACAGTTGCGAACCTGCAACCTACCCATGTCACCAAGTATACTCACTTCACCCCTCCCACCACTCCAATCTTCCTCACTCGCAACTGCTTTACCTCTCATAGCTCCCCAACATGAAGACGAACGTGAAGAACCTGAGTTCACTCCCTTCCCCGACGAGTTTCCCTTGCACCCACTCGCAGATGACTGGGCGTCACTCGATCGCAATACCTCGCTCTCATTGATTGCAGAAGTTTCAGATGAAGAAATGTGGCCATATAATAATTCACTTGGGCTGTACGTCGACCCTGCGATGAACGTCACCACTTGGGATGCAGGAGGGTTTATACGCTCGACTGCTCCGTCGCCTTCACCGTCCCGATTTAGGTCGCCACCGCGTCGGAGGAGCCAAGCGAGTAGAGTAGGTTGAGACGGGGATTCGTGCGTAGTGATGTGCGTAGAATATCTGTATGTATATGTGTTCTTATAGTTGAATTTCGCGAATGAAGAAAGATGTATCATACAAAAACATATGAATTATTCCGTTTCCAACACATAGCATATAGATAGCATGAACAAAGCAAAAAAACCTCCTACCAAAGACTATCTGTTTTGAATCTTTCGGACTTTAAACGGTCTGATCAGTCAAGTCCTGAATCGCAGGAGATCCATCATTCTTCCGCCTGCCGTCCCATTCCCTGCTATCATTGGCTTCCTTCTCCCAGGTCTTCAGAGCCTCCTCGTCCCATACCCTATCAGACATGTCGCCCTCCTTGAGTAAGTAGACGTCATCCTTGAGCTGTGTCGGTAGGTATTGGTTGTGCACCGGATGTCTATTTTCATTCGTTGTCCTTGTTAGCAACTCGAAGCACTGTAGTCAAGCACTAAGGACTAACATGAAATCGGGATTATATCGATATCCCTCCGCATAACCCAGCTCCTCCATGAGTTTCGTTGGCGCATTGCGAAGCTGCAATGGCACTGGCAGTGTCATGTCTTTCGCAGCAGCCTCCTCTGCTCGGTTGTATGCTCTATACGAGCGAGTTGATTTTGGTGCCTCCGAAAGATAGGAGACGAGATGTGCGAGATGGATGCGACATTCCGGCATGCCAATAACTTGGCATGCTTGATATGCTGCCATGGCCTAGTTATGGCAGTTCAACGTTTCGAAAGACGTACTTATCATCAAGGGTATCGTTTAAAAACTACTTACTAAAGGTAATGCCTTCGGATCTGCGAGACCTACGTCTTCACTTGCACAGACAAGCATACGACGAGCGATAAATAACGGGTCTTCGCCACCTCGCAGCATTCGAGCAAGCCAATACAACGCTGCACTCCCATTGCTCCCACGCACACTTTTATGCAGAGCGCTTATGAGGTCGTAATGCGTATCACCTGTGCGATCGTATGCACCTATCACACTCTTCCTCAGTGAATCGAGAAGCTGCGCGGTCGGGGTAGACGGAGGAGCAGCGAGTACAAGGGATAAGAGTGACAATGCTGTACGTGCATCTCCAGAGGATAGGGAAATGAGAGAAGAGAAAACCTGAGAAGTTATCTGTGGATGTTCCGGAAAAGGTAAATCCGAAGGTGAGGAGGCGGCAAGCGTTGCAGAGGATGTCTGGGACGAGCCGGGATCGGCGTTGATTATTTCGGTGGCTTGAGAAGTCGGAAGGAGAGAATCATCTGGCTTGATAGCTGCATCTCCAGTATCTTGGTCTTTTGCAGAGACACGCTTAATTGCCCGTTTAATAACTACTCCAATATTATCGTCCGTAAGACGTTCTAACACAAAGACGCTAGAGGATGGTCAGGCATGAATAAGCAGTATAAGTGATATAGCACAGACCGACAGCGGCTTAAAAGGGCACCAATCACTCGAAATGAAGGGTTCTCAGTTGTAGCGCCGATAAGCTGATTTGACAGTATTATATCAGTACCGGAAAGTAAAGTGTTACGGAAGCTGAGTTAACCTGTATATGACCTTGTTCAACGTATGGCAGGAAGATGTCCTAGTAACTGGTCAGGCTGCAAGTGTTAGAGGAGACAGGTACGATACACACTTGTTGGGCTTTGTTGAACCGGTGGATTTCATCTAGGAAGAGAATTGTCTTCCTAGCAGCGAGGTGAGTTCTGATGGTGGCTCAAGCGTGACATAGGCCCAATAGCTACCTTCCGGTCAATGATAAAAGACCTTTTGCTTCCTCAAATACTTGTCTAACTTCATTGACGCCTATTCCAGTCGCGGAAAGCTCCTTGAACACGGCTCGTGACTTCTTCGCCAGCAGTCTAGCCAGTGTTGTTTTACCACATCCCGGCGGACCCCAGAAAATAATGCTCCCCATGTTGCCACCAGTACCAGATTCAACAAGATGTCTCAGCAGTGAACCTTGGCCAGTAAGGTGGGGTTGACCAACGAAGTCGTCCAATGTCTGTGGCCGGAGTCGTTCAGGAAGAGGTTGAGCTCCTTCAAGGTTTGCAGTAGAGGTCTTTACACGTTTATTGGGATTTGAGCTAGTAGCATTAGACCCAGATAGTTCTTGTCTCGCCGAGACTGAGTCAGCTGGTCTCTTTGAGGTAGACGGTCGCGTCGGCGTTGATAATGGAGCATTTGGAGAGCTCGATGGTGCAGCTTGAGATGAACCAGGCTTATTGAATATAGGCGCAAGTCGAGCGTTACTCTGTGCTGACTGTTTGGACGGCTTGCTGCCAGAAACGGTCCTCGATGTCCCTACTTCTGAGCAGCCGCTGTCGAGATGCTGGTTAATGTTCCGCTCTGGAACATCCTGAGAACATACAGGACTTGCTTATCCATCCATGAGCTGAATTCAACTGATGAAAATTTCCACGGACATACCAAGTCACGATTGCATTCATCGCAGTCAGAAGTTACTGACCGCGCTTCGTCTGTGATCGGCAAGTGAAGTGGGCGTTTTTACGCGTTACGTCACAGTCAGGTGACTCAATCATACTTAGTGCTGCGCGCTGCAGAATTTGATGACCGTTCGAATAAACCTTTATCAACTGTGCCAGTCGTGCTGCTGTGAATACTGGAGCTGGGAAGAGTCAAGTTCTGCCTGGACGATATGACCGGACGGGAGGAACGTCGCATAACTTGATTATTTCTCACACAGGTTACTATCATACTTTAAATTCGAAGCCTAAAATGAATCTTCGGACATCGACTGCGAGGAGATACTAGTAACTATGACTCCGTGGTGAGCGAGAATACGACTATCGAGCCCTTATCTCTGATTCTCGTTTATTACAAACGTAATTGATGCGGATCTGCATGTTCCTATTCCCCGAACACGACGTCCCCGTGACCATAACTATCAACTATTTAATCGATGCTTGCACCTGTACGGTCCCGAAGTAGACTCCCCCAGTTACATCGGAATGCCTCCCATCTTACCTCTGGCTGACCCGTCACAAGCTACCCCGTTCAGCAGCTATACTCCACGTGTAGCTATAGTGACTGGTAGCTCACAGGGCATTGGATACGAAATTGCTCATAGGCTTGCAGACGATGGCATTGATGTCGTGATCAACGATATATCTTCGAAACAAGCACAAATCGACAAAGTCGTGGAAGAGCTGCGTAAGAAAGGCGGTCGTGCTCTGGGGATTCCTGCAGACGTATCAAAGGAGGCAGATGTTATTTCTTTAGTTGAGAAATCGGCTCAAGAACTTGGAGGTGTTGATATTGTCGGTATCATCCTTCTTGTCTTCAGTGTGAATTCTAACTTCGGCACAGATGATTGCAAATGCTGGGATTTCACATGTCAACTCATTTCTTGACAGTAAGTCTTTCCTTCCTTCCTTTAACGAGAGAAAATCTTTTAACTTGGTTTTAGCAACTATTGAGACCTTTGATACGATCTATTCTATCAACATGCGAGGGGTGTTCTTGTGCTACAAGCATGCTGCTTTACAAATGATCAAGCAGGGACGTGGCGGAAGGCTTATTGGTCGGGCATCCATGTATTCTATTAAATATATCCATTGTCTTCTAATTGTTTTGGTTGTGTAGGTGCAAGTTCGTCTGCCGGAAAGCAAGGTACGTAACATCTGGGTGAATGGTCCACTTTATTGACAAAATTCCGCTAGGTACTCAAAATCTCCTAGCGTATTCTGGCACAAAATTTGCCGTTCGAGGTATGACGCAAGCCGCATGTAAGCTATCCAAAATCCGTCAGATTCTTGACGTTGACATCTTACTGGACTAGCGATCGAACTATACAGACACGGAATTACAGCCAACGCATACGCACCTGGACTCATAAATACACCGCTTGGTAAACCGACTTTGATATTTGATCATCCTCGTGATCGTGATTCCGATACTTCTGGACCTAATCTAGGACTTTCGCCTGACGGAGTTAACGATAACTGCGCCACGATCAAGAGGGTCAGCATACTAAAATTCGGTTGTCGTGACAAAGTTATATGCAGGTACTCATATTTCTTTTGAAATTTAGCTCTTCGGAGTGCCCGACGCACCTGTTTCAGACGCCGATACCGTCGCAAGTATGATATCGTATCTGGTGAAGCCTGAAGCATATTTCGTAAACGGTGGGTTGGTATACCATTTTCGTAGTGTCAAAATTGAACATATCCGACCAAGCACAGGGCAAACCATCTCTATTGACGGAGGCTTCCGTTACTCGTGATTAGACACTTGTCAAGGTTCATTCGGAGGTCAGTCCGACTCTCTGCACTTCTCCTACGACTTAATTCCCATATCGAAATATAGCAAGGAATGGGAAGTTCCATTTCAAGTATCATGTAACTTTGGCTAGTCTCCTATAAATTCAATGCCATCCGGGACGAAATGGCACGTATGCGTAGACAGTGCTGTAACAGATGAAAACACAAGTAGGACCTCGTAGGAAATTCTTTGTATAGAGGATATTGAAAAATTTGAATCAAGCAGGATGAAAATCAAGCTAGTTTCATTGTAGGCCATGATAACACGTACCTTGAGTTGAAGACAGCCTGTACTTTGTAGTGGAAACGAATTGGACATAACCAGTCCCAAGCATAGTCTGTGCCCAGAATCATTCAGGGAGAAGTTTAGCACCCTTGAGGTCTGCAGTGGAGGTCTTCACATGTTTGTTGGGGTTGGAGCTAGTAGCATCAGACCCAGAAAAATTGTGGTTCGTTGACAATGTATTAGCCAATCTTTTTGAGGTAGAATACCGCGTCGGCATCGATAACGGTACATTTGGAGAGCTCGACCGTGCGGTATGAGATAAACCTGGTTTGCTGAATATAGGTGCAAGCGGAGCGTTAGGCTGTAGTGCCCTTTTGGAGGACTTGTCACCAGAAATGGTTCGACGTTGTTAGAAGCCTAGAATTTCCTACTTCTGAGCACCAGCTATCGAGAAACTGATTAATGTTCTTCTCTAGAACCACCTGAGAACATATAGGGCTTGCTTGACCGTCTGTAAGCTAAATCCATCCAGAGAATCTTCCATAGACATATCCCATGTTACCGCAGTTCCGAGACCAAAGTGCGTCTCCGTGATCGGCAAGAGAAAAGAGGCGTTTTACGCGTTACGTCACGGTCATGTGAGTCAATAATGAAAAAGAAAATTTGATGTCCGTTTGGACGAACCTTTATCATAGTCGTTGTGGCGTAAGCTGTGCAGAAATTTGGAGCTCAGGAGGCAGTCAACTCCTATCCGAACTATACGGAAGGCAAGAAATGCATTGTGTAACTCGTTGGTGAACATTTCTCACAAATTCTTAGCTTTCTATCGTGCCTTGGACTAGAAGCCCAATGAATTGTCGAACGGTGAAGTCGAGGAAACACCGATGCCTGCTTCGTAAAGTAAAGTAACTTCTATCATCTCTTTACCCATGATTCTTGCTTATTACAACATAATAATGCGGACCTACACGTCCCGTGCTCTGAACACGATGTTCTCATGACCACAACTATCAGCTATTTAATCGATGCTTAGTACCTACGCAGTCCTGAAGTAGACTCGCCATAAACATCGGAATGCCGCCTATCCTGCCTCTGGCTGACCCGTCACAAGCTATCCCATTCAGCAGCTATACACCATGTGTGGCCATAGTGACTGGTAGCTCACAGGGCATCGGATACGAGATTGCTCATAGGCTTGCAGATGATGGCATTGATGTCGTGATCAACGATATACCCTCAAAGCAAGCACAAATCGACAAAGTCGTCGAAGAGCTTCGTAAGAAAGGCCGACGTGCATTGGGAATTCCTGCAGACGTATCAAAGGAGGCGGATGTTATTTCTTTAGTTGAGAAAACAGCTCAAGAACTAGGAGGAGTTGATATAGTTTGTGTCAATCACTGTATTTTCAATATCGATTCTAACCTCGGTACAGATGATTGCAAATGCTGGAATTACGAACAGAAACTCATTTATTGACAGTACGCCCTTCTGTTATTTCTCGAGCAGAAGAGATCATTTAATACACTTTCAAGCTACTGTTGAAACCTTCGATACCATCTATTCTATTAACATGCGTGGGGTTTTCTTATGCTACAAGCATGCTGCTTTACAAATGATCAAGCAAGGACGCGGTGGAAGGTTGATTGGTAAGTTATCACAGCCGTCGCAGTTATTTTTATTCTCTGCTAATGAGTTCTGGGTGCATAGCGGCAAGTTCGTCAGCAGGAAAGCAAGGTACTATTTTTAATAAGGTTCGCTAGAATGGTCCGCTCACCGGACTGATCTTTGTTAGGTATTCAAAATCTCGTAGCGTATTCGGGCACAAAATTTGCCATTCGGGGCATGACGCAAGCCGCATGTAAGCCACTAGAAGAGCCGCCTGATCCTTGATAGTGACACCTTGCCGGACTAGCGATCGAGTTGTACAGACATGGAATTACGGTCAACGCATACGCACCCGGATTTATAAATACACCGCTGAGTAAACCGGCTTTGATTTTTTGTTATCCTCGTGATCATGAACACGCTGCTTCTGGACTGAATGTAGGCCTTAATCCCGACGGAGTTAATGATAATTGCGCTACGAGCAAGAAGGTCGGCATCTTAAATATCCGATCGTGTAAACTGTCACGACGGATTTCTTTTGAACTTTAGCTCCTCGGAGCACCTGACGCACCAGTTGCGAAAGCCGATACTGTTGCAAGCATGGTATCGTATCTGGTAAAACCTGAAGCATATTTTGTAAATGGTGAGTCGTTCATCAAAAACTAATGATGTCGAGGTCGGTTATCTCTGATCACATACAGGACAAACCATCATTATTGATGGAGGTTTCCGTTTCGATTGAATAGACAAACTTCTCAAGAGTCATTCGGAGGTCAGCCTAATTCCCTACATTTCTGTAACAAGTTAACACCCACGTCAAAAAGTATGGAGAAATGGGAAAGTTCCATTTCAATTATTGTACAACTTTGAGGCTAGTCTCCAGCTAAAATTCAATGTCTTCTACAACAAAATGGCATGTATGAGCGAGTAGATAGTACTGTATCAAATGAAGTTCAAGTAAGGCTTTGTAGGAAACGCTAAGAACAAGGAAATTTGAAAGGCTCAAATCTGGTATGTCAGGAAAGGGCTAGAAACATTGAAGTCCAATGCCTGTGACATAGAAATAAAGTGGATATAGTCTGTACATCCGCCTTATTACTATCCACGGCCATAGGACGCCGAAAGCACCGCATCCCGTCTGATCTGCGCAGTTAACCGGCGTGCCGCCCAGTTAGTACCACGGTGGGGGACCACGCGGGAATCCTGGGTGCTGTGGTTTTTTGCTCTCTTATCCTCATGTTATTTTTCTAAATCCTTGGGTTATCATATCCTCATAACTGCATCTTAGAATCTAGGGTATATTGACTACTACCTGATGCATTATCCTACTTATAATATTTTCTTACTACCATAATCACTCATTATGCAGACTGGGTTTCTAAATTTGACCAGTACCTCGAGTTGCAATTATTCCTAACCCCACAATTAACGTCAGCAACAAGTGGTTTGTGGAATCTATCTAAATACGACAGATATGCATAAAGATTACATACAGGTTCCAAAGTTTATACAGAAAACACTGTACGAGAAAGCAGCACTAAGAATAATAAACGTCCGCTCAGAGCTTCGCTTTCGGTGGCTTGGCCGCCTAGAGAAAGACGTCAACGAAGAAGTAATTAGTGTGTGAGGTACAAGTGTTGAGAATGTAGAACCGACCTTCAGTACGTCATTCAGCTTTGTGGCGAGCATCATATTACCCTTCGTCTTCAGCTTGCCGGACATGAACGCGCGTTGTCCGTCCAGCTTCAGTCGGAGAGCCAGTCAGCCATTGCCTGATACGTGGCAATTATCTGAATGTAAATATGAACATACCTTTCCCTCTGCGAGCTGTAAGAAAGTGTCGTCCGATAAGATGATGGTGACGTCTGCCTTCGGTTTTGCTGGGCCCTTGTAGACCGTCCCCGTCTTCTTCAAGTCAATTGTCCACACTCCCTCCTTGCCCTCTTCGTTCTTGATACGCAGCTCGAAGATGCCATTTGCCTGTACTAACGGTATGAGCACTTGTAAAGACGAGGGTTGAGCATGGTGAAAGAAACCTTTTTTATTTGAGCATTCTTTTCCGCATCACTGTAACGTTCGAATGCACTACTGAGCTCGGTCAGAACGTCAGATGACTATACCATGCTTGTCAGCCCAGATTTATGTGAATGATAAAGAAATGCGACCTTGAAACCTTCAATTTTGATGTCTGACATTGTGGCAGCGTGTAGAGGAAATGAGCGGGAAAGAAAGGACAAGTGTGGAGGTGGGGTGCCATTCTACCGGTTGAAGACCGATTTGGCTTGCATGTGATTGTCCATTGATCAACATTTACAACACAAAAGCATAACAAATTTTCTCTGAAAACATATGATACAATTGAAATCATGACGATAATGGTGGACTATTCATATGAATACATCCTCGGAACACTATACAAAGTCTACAATTCTACAAGGTGACGTCAAGAAAAACTGAATCAACTAAACGCAAAGATGGACTCTCCCAATATATGCTCGCAATCTCACCAGTATAATATCCGTGCTTGCGAGTACGTTTGCGAGTACCACCTCTGCCATATCTAATGAACGCCTCGCACGCCAAGTCGTCCTGCTGACATCAACGCAACGGCCGCAGTCAAAGATTCTTCCGTCTTCGTCAGCATAGCGTCATTACAAACGTGGGCATCAAGGTCTACCCTCGTCGAGTCTGTAGAAAGTATCCGCGAATGAGTATTACACCTAAGTTATTTGTATGCCCACATGGAAGATGGACGATGCTTGAACATCGGGCAGTAAAGGCGAATAGCCTCAGTTCCTGATAGATTGACGCACGACCCGGCGGTAATGATCCGTCTAGACCGAACTCAACATCCTGACACGCTCATCTGCTAATACCGACCATTGCAGAAGGCTCGCGCGTTATTTCATCGACGCCTTCCTTCGCGTTTCCGAGTAACTCATCCAAGAGCTCCGCAACCTTCTTCTTTGCCTCTTTCGCATCCGACCTTGCTTCACTCAACGCCCTGTCCCGCTGCTGAGAGATCTGAGACTCATCCGAGAGCAGCAAAAGGAGCTTCATAGAGTGTGTGATGGAAAGCAACGAGTGTGCCGCGCGAACCATGGATTCTGCTCGACATTGCGCCTGAAAGGATTCCTGTGCGATTCTGAATTTATCTTTGTCTCCAATCTGAAAATAAGCCAACCACAGTCAGAATCCTTCCGATGCTAGTTGTATTGGATATATAAGCTCACTGAAGCAAGGTTGACAATATCAACCATCCCATCCACAAGCGTTTCAACTTCAACGTCGATCTTCTTGTTCCATTCTTCCTCAACGAAATCAAGATATTCGTCCGAACTCTGGTCAACAATTGATTGCGCCTGCGATGCAGAAGGACGAAGTCGAGCGCTGGGGAGTGCTGAGGGTCGTGAAACGTCCGTTTGGGTAATGTCGGCCATTATGGTTCGCGTCTGTGAAGAAAGGAGGCGAAATTCAAGTGTAATTATGCTTATTATGTAATTTACATTGTTTGCGATTGTTTAGCATCTACATTTAACAGGCAACCCTCTCTTTGCTAGCGAGTTTGCTCGACACACGTGCGTATAATTCGTACGGCAACTTATATGCCCATTTGGTGAAATCTATAGTTTAGGGCCTGTAGGGAAAGGCTAATACTGAAAAGAGAAATTAATTACTTATCAACGCATACATAGCACAAATGCACTTCGATGTGCAGATGACCCCGCTTCTCACCGGACTGCATATATATACGAAACTCTCTCGTCCGATTGCTAATAGACAAGCTCTCATGGCTACACAGGATTCTTCAGTCCCATTCTCATCCTACATTCCGCGTGTTGCGATTGTCACTGGTGCCTCACAAGGCATCGGACAGGCTATCGCTCTCCGTCTGGCAGATGATGGCATTGATATCGCGGTTAATGATATTCAATCAAAGCAGAACCAGATAGACAACGTTATTGAACAGATTCGCAAGAAAGGTCGGCGAGCTATCGCTATACCGGGAGACGTAGCTGTCGAAGCAGATATCTCTGCTATGGTTGAGAAGACAGCTCAGGAACTTGGAGGTGTCGACATTGTGAGTAAATGACCCTAGTACAAACTTTACCTGATATCAATGTGCATACATGGTGCAGATGGTCGCAAATGCGGGTATCGCGCACATTTCCACACTCCTGGAGAGTAGGTCGTCATTAGAGCACGCATATATGCATGTGTTAGGCCTAATACTAACGGTCATGACAAGCACCTACGGACAAACTCGACACTATCTATGCTGTTAATATACGCGGTGTCTTTCTCTGTCTGAAATACGCTGGGCTGCAGATGGTAAAACAAGGGCGCGGAGGAAGGCTGATAGGCTAGTAGTCTAATGAACTACAGTGAATGTTCCAGTAATTTCCTTACACTACAGCTGCAAGCTCCATATGCGGCAAACAGGGTACTCATCCCACTTCCTTACCTAGGGTGGCCTGTGCTGATTCTATTTGTCCCTTAGGTGCAGTGAACCTTTCAGCTTATTCGGCTTCAAAGTTCGCTGTTCGCGGTATAGTTCAATCCGCTTGTATGTCACTATACTCACCAATTGTAACAATTAATCCTGATAACGATACTGCACATTCCTAATCTTTCCTAGCCATGGAATTGCGCAAATACGGTATTATAGTAAATGCATATGCACCTGGTTCCATTAATACTGCCATGCGTAAGATGCCTTCTTTTTCTTAAAGCGAGGTCTTGCTCAGTTATAATTCGATTTTAGTCGCGAGTAGCAGAGAGGCGGATCCCAGCTTTAATGAAGTCAGATATACTCCATATTTCGAATGGCGTGAGCTTCTTACCTCCGGCTGATCATATCAACTTTATTCCTAGGCCTCCAAAAGTGTCCCAATCGCGGAGCCCGAGACCATTGCCAGCATCGTCTCATACATCGCCAAGCCGGAGTCTTACTTCGTCAATGGTAATGTACTTCCGGGTATATCTAGACGGCCGATCTGATTTATTTCAAACATACAGGTCAAAGCGTTTCTGTGAACGGTGGCATATACTTTGATTGAGTGTACATCTCGATACAGAACAATTGAAAAAAGCAGCCTTGGATAGCATGTATTTTCCCTTTAGCCCCTTCTGCGATGTCGGCGGCGGCTTGTATTGTTTCCGTATGGTGAACAAGATAGTTAAAGTAGATTTGTGTAGGTATTTGGGTGAAATCTGACAGCATGAAGCGGCGAGGGTTTCGAAAGGTCCGTCTGGGTAGTGTCAGCCATTGTGGTCAGCAGATGAAGGATCGAAATTGCAAGCATTTGTTGTTGTTATATAAGACATATTTACACTATTTGCTTCTGTTTGGTGACTTCCTTAAAAGTTACTCCTGCCTACTGACACGCCTGGCATGCATTTAAATCGTACACCTTTGTGTGAAATACTGTGGTGTTGGGACTTCGTACGGAAGCCGATTACTGAAAGGAAGGATCAATGTATACGGGGTGCGGATGCCGAAACACATCAAAGACACGCATGACCCCGCTTTGCTTCGGACTGCATTATAAATACGGGACGCTCTCACACATTCGATTCTATGCAGGGAAGCACTCATGGCCAACCAGGATTCTTCAGTCCCATTCTCAAGCTATACTCCGCGTGTTGCGGTCGTTACTGGCGCTTCACAGGGCATCGGGCAGGCAATTGCTCTTCGTCTGGCAGACGACGGCATTGATGTCGCGGTTAACGATATTCAGTCAAAGCAGAATCAGATAAACAACGTCATTGAACAAATCAGAAAGAAAGGCCGGCGAGCCATCGCTATACCAGGAGACGTAGCTGTCGAAACGGATATCTCTGCTATGGTTGAGAAGACAGCTCAGGAACTTGGAGGTGTCGACATCGTGAGTAAATGTCGCTGGTACAAATTTTATCTGATATCAATGCGCATATATGGTGTAGATGGTCGCAAATGCAGGTATCGCACACTTTTCTCCGCTTCTGGAGAGTAGGTCACCGTTGAGCACGCATATATGCATGCGTTAGGCCTAGTACTAACGGTCATGACAAGCACCTACGGACAAATTCGACACTGTCTATACTATTAATTTACGCGGTGTCTTTCTCTGTCTGAAATACGCTGGGCTGCAAATGGTAAAACAAGGGCGCGGGGGAAGACTGATAGGTTAATAGTTCAATAACTATACTGAATGTTCCAGTAATGCACTATCTACAGCTGCAAGCTCTATAATTGGCAAACAGGGTACCCACTCCTTCATTATCTTAATATATTCCGAGCTAATTTCTATTTGTTTTTTAGGTGCACCGAACCTGTCAGCTTACTCAGCTTCAAAGTTCGCTATCCGTGGTATAATTCAGTCTGCTTGTACGTCATTAAACTTATTACTTACCAGTTAGAACAATCAATCCTGATAACGATATCGCATATTCTTAATCTTTCATAGCCATGGAACTGCGCAAATACGGCATTACAGTGAATGCATACGCACCTGGATATATCAATACTGCCATGCGTAAGACGCCTCCTTTTTTCTTGAGGCACGGTCTCGCTCACTTATAAGGTCAACTTTAGTCGCGAGTAGCAAAGAGGCGGACGCCAGCATAAATGAAGTCAGGCATACTTTTCCATATTTCAAGTAATGTAAGCTTCTTTCCACCGGCTAATCATATCAATTTAATTCCTAGGCCTCCAAAACTGTTCCAATTGGGGAGCCCGAGTCCATTGCCAGTATTGTGTCATACATCGCCAAGCCGGAGTCTTACTTCGTCAATGGTAATGCATTGTCAAGTGTATCTCGACCACTGATATTACTTACTTATGAATGCGCACGACGCAGGTCAAAGCGTTTCAGTAAACGGTGGTATATACTTTGATTGAGGATACATCTTGATACAGTGTAATTGAAGAAAGGAGGCAGCATTGCATATCATGTATTTTGCGTCTAGCTCCTGCGAGACCTGTCTGCGATGTCGGCGGCGACTTGTATTGTTTCCATATAGTGAACAAGATAATTAAAGTGGTTTCGTGTGGGTATTTGGGTAAATCCAGAATTAAATCAATAGTATTTGTATAAGACATATTTGACGGTATTTGCAGTTATTTGGTGTCTTCCTAAGTTACTCCTGCCTCCGCTGACACGTTGGCATGAATATAAATCGTACACCTTTGTATGAAATACTGTGGTGTCTGGACTTCGTACAGAAGCCGATTACTGAAAGGAATGATCAAAGCATACGTGGTGCGGATGTCGAAACACATCAGATACACGCATGACCCCGCTTTGCTTCGGACTGCATTATTACGGGACGCTCTCACACATTCGATTCTATGCAGGGAAGCTCTCATGGTCAGCCAGGATTCTTCAGTTCAATTCTCCACCTACACTCCGCACGTTGCGATTGTTACTGGCGGTGCACAGGGCATCGGGCAGGCAATCGCTCTTCGTCTCGCGGATGACGGCATTGATATCGCAGTCAACGACATTCAATCAAAGCAGAATCAGATAGATAACGTCGTTGAACAGATTCGCAAGATAGGCCGGCGGGCGATAGGATACCGGGAGATGTAACTGTCGAAGCACATACGTATCTCTGCTCTAGTCGAGAAGACAGCACAGGAGCTTGGAGGTGTCGACATCGTGAGTAAATTAATATTCTTATTGCATTGTGATAACGCACTTACGTGGCTCAGATGGTTGCGAATGCGGGTATCGCATACAGTCTCCCACTTTTGGAGAGTAGGTCGCCATTTAGGCATAATTGTATACATGTTCCAGGGCGAGTACTAACGTCTATGACAAGCGCCAACCGACAAACTCGACACCATCTATGCTGTTAACATACGCGGTGTCTTCCTGTGTCTCAAATATTCTGGGTTACAAATGGTAAAGCAAGAGCGTGGAGGACGATTGATAGGTTGGTAACCCAACGAAATATACTGAATGTTCGATGTAGTAACCGTCCTAATTCTACAGCTGCGAGCTCCATATGTGGCAAGCAGGGTCCTCATTCCTTTTCTTACCCTACTTTGTTCCATGCTGAGTCTACTTGATTTTTAGGTGCACTAAACCTCTCAGCCTACTCGGCTTCAAAGTTCGCAATCCGTGGTATAGTTCAATCCGCATGTACGGGACTATACTCACCGATGGGACAATCAATTCTGATAGCGATAATGCATATTCTTATTTATTTTTTCTAGCCATGGAATTGCGCAAATACGGTATCACAGTAAATGCGTATGCACCTGGATACGTTAACACTGCCATGCGTAAGGTACATTGTTTCATGAGGCACGGTCTCGCTCATCCACAAATTCGACTCTAGTCACGAGCACAGAGGCGGACGCCAGCTTAAAAGAAGTCAGATATACTCCTTATTTCAAGCGACGTGAGCTTCTTACCTCAGGTTGACCATGTCAATTATATTCCCTAGGCTGCCAAAACTGTTCCAACTGCGGAGCCCGAATCCATTGCCAGTATTGTCTCCCACATCGCCAAGCCGGAGTCTTACTTCGTCAACGGTAATTTATTGCCCAATACATCTCGACAGCTGTTCTGATTTATTCTTGAATCCGCAGGCCAGAGTGTTTCTGTAAACGGTGGAATTTACTTCGATTAAGTTTGTATCTTGATGCAGAACAGTTGAAAGAGAGAGACGGCGTGGGATAACTTGTATTGTTACGACTCGCTCGTTTGTGAGATTTCTTGTTGACATCCTAGGCCCGTACAGTTCCTGATGACGAACAAGATAATCATAAGCGATTTTGCTTAGGTGTTTGGGCACTAGAAGTGTTGAGAATCGCGAAACGTCCATTTGGTAAGTTCTGCTTCCCGCTCGAGTGAGAGAGTCGTCTGCCGTAGACAATCTATTGGCGAAGGATAATTGATGTTACCTTCTAGCTACTGAGGCAAGTAGGCAGAGATTAAACGTTCGTTATATATTGTAATAGTATAATGAATATTTACAGTATTTGTATTTGTTTATGTTCTTCTCAAATGAGTTATTTCATCTCGCTTCGCTAACAAATCAGTTCGGATTGTTATGCACATAAATTGCATACACACTTATACAGCTTTTTAGTGGAATCGTTTTGAATCGTGTTGTGGCTGTAAGGAAAGACGACTACTGACAGGAGGATCAATGTATACATAGCACAGTGCGATGTCGAAGCACATCGGAAGTACGCATGACCCCGCTTTGCTTCACACTGGGTTTATATACACAAGACTCTCCCGCGCATTCGATGATAATACTAAGCAAGCTCTCATGACTACCCAGCAGGATTCAGCAGTTCCGTTCAGTACCTACACCCCGCGCGTTGCGGTTGTTACTGGGGCAGGACAAGGCATCGGACAGGCAATCGCACTCCGTCTAGCGGATGACGGTATTGATATTGCAGTTAACGACATTCAATCAAAGCAGAATCAGATGGATAACGTCGTTGAACAGATTCGCAAGAAAGGCCGGCGAGCGATAGGTATACCGGGAGATGTAACTCTCGAAGCAGATATCGCTGCTCTAGTCGAGAAGGCAGCTCAGGAACTTGGAGGTGTCGACATCGTGAGTAAATTACATTCTCGTTACCTTGCAATAACACTTTCGTGGATCAGATGGTTGCGAATGCGGGTATTTTCCAACCCTCCCCCCTTTTAGAGAGTATGCCGTCGTTTTAGTGTGCATATGTGCATATGTTAATTAATAATGCCTAACTATTCCTCAAGCACCCACTGAGAAATTCGATGCCATGTATGCCATCAATATTCGTGGAGTATTCCTGTGTTTCAAGTATGCTGGGTTGCAGATGGTAAAGCAAGGACGTGGAGGAAGATTGATAGGTTGACAATTCAATGTAATGCTTTGGATGTTCCAATAACCCTGCTGACTCTGTAGCTGCGAGTTCCATTCTGGGCAAGCAAGGTATTCCACCACTTCCTCGCTCTGTATCATTCTGTGCTTACCCTATTTGTCCTATAGCGGCAATTAATTGCTCAGCCTATTCGGCTTCAAAGTTTGCAGTCCGCGGTATTATACAATCCACCTGTATGCCACCGTACTTACTCATTGAATCGACCAATACTGACTATGAAACTATTTTCCGGATATATCATATTCCTATCGTTTCTAGCCATGGAGTTGCGTAAATACGGCATTACAGTGAATGCATACGCACCTGGATTCATAAATACTAAAATGCGTAAGATGCCACCGTTTCCTTGACGTACGGTCTCGCTCATTTGTAAATGCTATTTTACATTATTAGTCGCGAATGCATCTGCTCTGGATGCCAGCATGAAGAAGGTCAGATCCATTCCCCAACATTTCAATTGGTATGGACTTTATGCCTGAGGCTGAAAGTGTTGACTTTGGCCCTAGGCCGCCGAAGTTGCTCCAATTGGGGAACCCGAGTCCATCGCCAGTATTGTCTCGTACATTGCCAAACCAGAGTCCTATTTCGTCAATGGTAATGGCATTTCGAATAATTCTCGATCACTGAGCTGATTTATTTCTGAAATCGTAGGCCAAGCCATCTCTGTAAACGGTGGCATATACTTTGATTAGGATTGTATCTTGATTCAGAATAACAATTGAAAGAAAGAGACAATGTTGGATATCTTGTAATTGTCGCGTTTAGATTTCCCCAGTGTAGCCGGAGCCCTGTATTGTTTCTGAATGGTGAATAAGATAATCGCAAGTGGTTTCACACAAAACGTCCGTTATTACGCCGAACCAGTGTCCCGATGTCAGCATTCCGAAATAGCGACTTGTGTTTGATGTTGTGTAGATTGACAAGGATGATTAGCATGGATGATCCGGCTGCAATACACAGGAACGTCAAGTGCAAATGCGGTAGCATGCCTCAGTCTTCGGCATGTTTACTCACTTCGGTGATCGGATAATTCCTCCCTGCTGAAGTACTGTGGACTCCACTAAAGTGATAAATTGTAATCAAGATACACTCAGCGGTTCATACATTACAGATCATTCAGCTTTAACGACCTCATCGAATTCGTCATTCTTGACCATCTCGCGAAGAATATCTAGACCGCCGACGAATTCACCGTCTACAATAAGTTGTGGGAACGTTGGCCAATTATTTAACTCTTTGAGACCTAAAAAAGGCAAAAAAAAAAAAAAAAGTCGGTAAAACCAATAAGAGAAGGAAAGAAAAAGAACTGCCTAATCGATACGACTAGCTGTAAATTTTGCACTCACCACTTCGTACGGTCTCATCCGTCAAAATATCAAAATAACCAAACTCGACTCCCCGCTCCCGTAACAATGCCACAGTCTGTCTCGAGAAACCGCATCGCGGCACATCTGGGCTACCTTTCATGAACAACATTACGCGTTCCTGCGTCATCAGTCCCCGCAATCGCTCGTCACGCTCCTCCTTCGTTTCCTGCTTCTCGGCTGGCGGGGGAGCGGCAGGAGATTTGTCAGTATATGAGAGCGCCTTTGGCGTAGTCCGAGTGTAGTTGGTAATCTCAGAGGTAAGTTTAGTTGAGTCGGCTCCTTCGACACGTGCAAGCAGGGTATGACCCTATGCCACAATTTTAAGACTTCGGTAAGTGATCAATTTTCCTCATGCTGAGTAATGCAGGTGTGCGTACTCTTAGGACGATGAACGTCGGGACACTAGCGATCTCAAAGCTCTCCGCAATATCTGCCTGTTCTTCCGCTTCTATATTGAGGACGAGCAAGTTCGGATGTTCTTTCGCGTGTTTAGTGACTTCCTCGTTCATCTGCGTACACGGTTCGGCCCACGGCGCCCAGAAGTTGAGTAACGAGACGCGCGACAAGTCAGTGGAGAGTAGCTCCTGGAAGTGCGCCGGAGAAGTGATGGTGTGTACGTTCGGGAGGGAATCAGTCGCCGACATTCTAGACAAGATAAATGAGAGAGGTAGAGTGGAATCAGGGGGCGCTGGAGGGTTATTATATGCAGCTCAGAAGTCCGGTTCCGTCGGTTGAGAAATAGTTTGTGGGCGAGGAAAACGACTGGCTGATGCTGGGAGAGCGAGGTGGAAAGGGGCGAGGACGTGGTAGAAGTACAAGATGCGTGTACGCGGAATGGGAGGATGGCGAGCGAATGTCCTCATCTGCATTGATAAGATGAACAGAGCCGATCTAGCCGATCATCACACCTCCGAACACGGTCTAACAGCGCAAAGCCATACATTGTGGCAGAGAAAGCCGTTGATACATTGAGTGCTAGTGTACTTAGACATATATACGATGTACATTATTAAAAGACATCCAGCAAAACATTTACTGCTTAATGACTTTCAAGATAATCGACAACCCGATCGAGTAAGTCCGACTTCTTGCCAGAAACCGACAAGCTCTTGCTTTTGAGAAACTCCTGCAGGGTCAAAGGGTTGCATGTCAGTGGCAATTTAGGTACGGTTATCAGATAACTGAGGGAGGTGGAATACACGAAATGAGGAAGCTGAGCCATCTGATAAGATGGGAAGCACGTATACCACGCAAATTGAATCATGGGTATGGCACACGTGGACGAATAAACAGTCCAGAAGACTGAAGGGAAAAGTACACACCTTCAGCTGATCCACCTTCAACTGTATAGAGAAGCGTACAGCCGAGTCGGGATGAGCAATAAGGTTCCACCAGAAGAGAAGTGTCGATGGCTACTCACTTTGCCCAACTGTCCGCTTTCATTTTTGCTCCGGATTTCTGCTTCTAGCACAGATGTATCCTTGGAAAATCAATATCAGATTATATATCACAGCAGGTAAAGTGGAAGCTACAAACCGCCTTCCGCTTCGTCCCTGCCTTTTGAATGAACGTGGTATTTGCATTCTCATTGCTCCCAACAATCTTCTTCCACTCCTTAATTAACGGCCCTGCTCGCTATGAGTGGGTTGAGGGGGTCGAGCTCGAACTATTATTCTGCCAAAACAGTATCGCACCTTATGAATCATATCAAGCTTCGGTAATGTCGGATCCTTAAATGTGTCTGGGTCGTACTCTTCGCGGAACGCACTGGCTTCAAGCTGTGCGTAATGAAATGCGAGTGCTAGTCATACAGAGCGCAGATATGTCGATAAGCTGGAAAATATGGAAATGACTGTACATTGCAAGTAGCGTACCAGGATTGGGGTTCGCGTCTGGTGGATATCCACCACTTTTTATCTGCAGTTTCGATATCCATTGCTTTGCAACATCGAGTGCGTCGGTTGAGGCTGGGATCAACAATTCGAGCTGTCAACAACCATATGCACGAGCAAAACGGTTTGCACCATACCTCGAACACCTTGTTCAATAGGAGCAGCGCGCAGATCATCCGCGAACGGGTAGGGAATAAGATGGAATCCGGCAGGCTCAACAAACCCGTTCTCGTCTTCTTTCTCTTCCTAGCGAACGTGGATGATACATATCGTTCTGGTAAGGAAATCGAGGAATTGCATACTTGGGGACACAGTGCACAAAACATTGGTGAAGAGTTGGAGCGTAGGAGTGCCCGTACGAGCCCAATCTTCCTTTTCTTCTTTAGTGTCTTTAACAGAGCAGTAAACGTTCGTTTTGATCCGGAATAATTCTGTTCACTTATGAATCAATGTTCAAAAAGCGACAGCGATATACACACCTGTTCGTCGGGATAGATGAATAAAGAATGGCGAACATTGTCCTCAATGGCAAGCTCTGTCTCATCTTTAAATCCAAGCAGCTTTAGACCTGGTGACAATCCGAGAGTCCGGAACGCTCTGACTTCCTCTGCGGTGTAGAAAACCTAGACCTGTGGTTAGATTAGCGAGCCACAAACAAAATCAAATGCCAACCTTGCTTCGTTTCGGAACAACGCGGACGCCGTACTCCTCGTCTTCATTCTCTTCTGCGGGAGGACCTAATTGCATGCCATACATAACCTTCGTCTTATCGATTTCACGTTGCTCATTCTTTTGCAAAGGTATCAGCCCGCAAGGTTGCATTAGGCATACTAAAGAATGCGTACCTCGTCAACGTAAAGAGTCTTTGGCTCGACAACTTCAAGTCGGTCGCCCATGTCCATGAAATACTTGTAGTGGCCCTTCTTCTGCTCCGTCACAAGCCCATATCTAGAGTGCATGAAGGATAAATTCGTTATTGGATGTGTTTATTATAACGGGTTCAAGCATTACCCTTTCACCCCAATGACAAACCCATCACCAAGTTCAAACGGAATGCTAAAGAGAGCACGTTTTGGCATTTCACGGAAACGCATTTGAGCAAGTAGGTCGTCGATGCGCGAGACGGAGATGGCATCAGAGAGTAAGCCATCACTCTCTTCCGCCTCTTCTTCAAGGGATGATCCAAGAACTGCCTATAGTACAGAATGATATGCATTTATGAGTAGATAAGGCTTAAGCCTAGGCTTTCTCACCGAATAGAACTTAGTCGGATCGAACGATTTCTCTTCTGTACTAATGAAGAAAGGCTCCACAGAGACGCCTGCTTGGGTTAAATCCTAGTAATAGGGCATTAGTATCAAATCAACCATGGTTAATCGAAAACAAACAAGTAGTGTCGTCTGTGCAGATGTAACGAGTTGAGCATTCTTTGCACCAGGATGAGGGTCATCCTCGTCAGTAATAAGGAAAATACGTTTAATCCCGGACTTCGGCATTCTGGGGAGGTTTATTAATACTGAACATCTATCACGAGAGCACTATTCCTTACCCGTCTCGCAAGGCCCAATTGCAACTTGTGAAGACATCCCCTAACGGAACTTGCTTTTCTGAAGGTGGAAATTCGTAACGCAGCCACTTGTGGTTATCCTTCGCCTCTAATCATTTATGAGAAACGATTAATTTAGCTAACGTGGTACGGAGAAAATGTATACAAGCACGGACCATGGAGGAGTTGAATAAGATTTTGGATCTTCGGGGCGTCGATTTGTCCTACTGGTTCGTATACAAATGTTCCGCTCTTATACTCTGTTGCTCCGCGTTCCATGTTTTCACTTTTTCTCGACTTCTCAGGATCTAGTGAGCGAGGTAACAATTCCGGAAATCCGCTTATTGCTCACGGTGTTGAATAAAAGTATTCCGGCAGCATCATTTGGGCCAACAACCACTTTCCGCTTCTGAAGTTTCATAGCCGCTTGGAGCGCAGCAAAGAGATGCGACGTTTGACTACCCTCTTTGTTCGAGTCGTCATGAAATGCCTGCATGGACTCAGAACAGTCAATAGCGAATAGAATGATGTCACGTTTGCCCTCGAATATCTAATAATGCGTTTCACGTCGGGATTTCGCGTTAATTTTTCTGTAGCTTTACGGAAGGTGATACAATGCCGGCTCACAGAGGTATCTTGCAGTTCATCGTCCTCATCTTCTTCAACTTTGTTCCAATCTTCAAATGGAGGCATGATGGAAACTGTGTCTCAAAGGTCGAACAACGAGTGGACGAGGTGACTCAAAGTCTGAGAGTCAAGTTGACGCGCCTGCGCGTCCGCAATTCGATGACGCACATCACGTGAAAATGGTCACACCGTGCTGACGCGTTACTCAAAGATTATTATTCCAAACTCAAAGTTCTACTTGTTTCCCCGCCAAATTTCAGCAACCTGCCTACTTCCCTATGGCTTCCGCTAACTATCCCCTACCGCCTGAAGTGAGAAATGACGTTGCAGCAAGGTTGCATGCTCCATCTCTCAGGATCAGGTTCGACGAGGATGTAGACGCGTGGAAATCCACGAAAGGCTACCAAAATTATTTACTCTTCCTTCACAGGCTCAGCGAGTCTGTTGTAGGCTATAATATGCCGGAATGCGCGGCGGAAAATCCATCTACAAGTATGAGTTCGGTATGCTAGATCAGTGCCGTGGACTGCTTCAGCTCAATGATGCAATCATTAGGCAGTGAGATCGACTCTGGATATCCTGGATAAACTAGATAGATGGATAGATGAAATTCCTCCTTTACCCACTCCTCAGAGGTTCGGAAACCTTGCCTTTCGGACTTGGGGAAAGAAACTTGAAGATGTAATATTTTGACAACCTGTGTCAAAAGCACATCTGTGGCTCACACCAAATTCTAGAACGCCAAGGATCTTATGAAGTCCCTTCTACCGGATTATTTGCATGGATCCATACACCTGCTAGTCCCTTATTTTGTTATTTCGTTCGGATCGTTCACACGCATGGATTATGGAACTGGACATGAAGTGGCGTTCGGACTGTTCTTGCTCTGTCTCACCCATGTTCGCTTCTTTGTTCCATCACCCGAGGAGGAACGGAATTTGGTGCTCCTCGTGTTTTACCGATATTTGAGATTGTGCTGGCGCTTGCAAGACGTGTACCGACTTGAGCCTGCCGGTAGCCACGGAGTGTGGGGACTCGACGATTATAGCTTCCTAGGGTACATTTTTGGGAGTGCTCAACTCAGAGGTTTGTCCTGTAGCCTCTGTACCGAATGGTAAGCTAGTGACGATGAAACTCAAACAGACCAGAAAGAAATTCCTGTCGATGCAATTCTCAAACAACCACTCCCACCAACAAATTTGTATTTCCTTCTGATATCAAGGATCCATATGGTCAAAAGTGGCCCGTTCTTCGAACACTCGTCTCAGCTGTATGCAATTGCTACGGGTGTACCCAATTGGGGAAAGGTACATTCGGGACTATTCAAGATGTATGAAGTAAGTTGTGTCGAAGCGGTTCACTGGCAATCATCTAATTTTCTTGCTTTAGGCGGAAGTTCTGGGAAAGCGAGTGGTTGTACAGCATATACCCGTGGGTGGACTCGTGGAATGGGATCCAGTTAGAGCGCCAGCGTCAATGAGTCCAAACGCTATCCCCGTAAATTCCACACAGAACGCATCAACGAGAGCTCCGTGGTCTTCTCCTGCTGCTCAGAGTAACCCCAGCTCCGTTTCGTCTCAGTTGCAGACAGGAGCTCCCTGGGCGAGCAACTCGTCAGAAACACGCGAGAATCTTGCAGGTTGGACTGAGTCATTGATAAGAGCGCCGTGGAAAGCGGGCAATTCTGGCTCACCTCGACGATGACTCCCGGTATGCGCCACAAAGAGCTCCGCGAATCGAACAAGTGCTTCTCAAACACGAAAAAAGCTTGGCTTATCAGCTAGTACCATGACCAAGTCACGGTGTATGTGTAGTACATGTATCAACACATGAATACCCAAACTTATAATGAGAGCCGCGATGGTCTCGGAAGATCCGATGTGCGTGCTTGTAAATCGTGTGTACTGTTTGGGCGTCTATCTTCTTGAGCATGAAATTCGGTCTACCGGACCTTCATTTCTACGACATTCATTATGTTTTTAAACTGTCTCGACGGGTATCCAGAGTTCTCGATGAAGTTAATATGGATATCGGAATGTAATAAATTTGCTTGGCGTCTCAAACTAAATCGATCTCGTCGGAGACATATTTTCATATCTACGCGCCACCCACGATACAGCGCCTCGGAAGATCACTGATCACGACGTAAATAAACAAGGTAAACTGTCAAGTCAACCCCGTTTCCTTTCTTAGATAAATGCACCGTTATCTTGAACAGCTTTCACTATGACGAACAATTCGGGGATTGCCGGATTTAGTCGGTCGACGCGTTCCGTAAATTTTCTCGGCTGTGCAGTCAACGCACCGCTGTCTCTCAGAATCAACCACTCTTCCTCGGACCACGTCCATCGCGTTTTGCACGCAGACATACTCAGCAACATAGCTTCCCCTATGCGAATTGGGACGTTCTGAAACAATAATCTATTGAATTACTAAATCGATCTTCACGATTTCTAACCAGGCGAGGAACACAGACCTCCGTCTGCTCAATCGCGAGTACGTCCAGCCCATGGCTCCGTGTCTCTAGCGTCATTATGTCAGAATACTAAGACACTCTATTTTCATTAATATGCAGGTGGTCATCTGTTCGAGGTCAGTTATATTAATTCCTTTCAAGTTCACGTACTAAGACTCTGCTTAACCTGCAGGCGAGCCCCCTTGACAGGACTAGCGTGGAGATTTACGACAGCACTCAAGTACTCTAGGACACCCTCCAACGCCCTCATTTTATCCACGTATAACCCCTCCGACCTTCTATACTCGATTTTTGCCTCGCCCTCACTGAGAGCGAGGACTACCACCGACTGATAAAGCTTCTTCAGTTACCGTCCTCTCCGCCCGGTTCCGCCTCTGCGACCGTGGCGGTTCAGGTTCGGTAATTCGGTGCTTAGCTCTAGGCGGACAAAAAGCTCAAATTTTCCGGCTCCGGAGGCCACATTCGACATAAACCACTGGCTCACTCACTGACGTCCTCTGAAGAGGAGCAAACACGCATAGACTTCGACTACGACGTCAAATTTCATTCTAAAGTAGCGTCGGTAGCGTCTGCTTCTAGCTTTACCTCCACGGTATCTATGTCGAAAATCGAGGTTCTGTCCGCTAGCGCGCATATTGAGTACGGAAATACTCAAGACGAGCCAACTGTGATTCGTACCCAAGAGGAGACTTTTGATACCGACGCCCGCTCTGTTGTTGACGGATTTCCCCCGAAACTGCATTTTACACCGCACACGCTGAACAACTGCCACGACGCCGACGATGATGTTGTCATTCCCCACCTACCACCATTGCTCCGAGGACACCCCGAAATTCATTTACGCAATGGAGTAATGAGAGCTTCGCGACTCTCGGCGCTGCATGAAACAGACGCAGAGAAGGCTTTCTTCGTCGCAGATCTGAGTTACGTCTATAAACAGCATGAAAGGTGGAAGAAATGGCTACCTGGTGTTGAGCCATTTTACGGTGTGTTGTATTTCTCAGCGTACTATTAAGGGGTCTTTGTCACTAAATTTTCTTGAAACATAGCGGTCAAATGCAACCCCGACCCATACGTTCTGCGTCTTCTGGCGGCGCTAGGCACTGGGTTTGACTGTGCTTCGAACAACGAAATTTCCCGCGTCCTGGATTTGGGCACCGTCGATCCTTCTCGTATTATTTTTGCCAACCCATGCAAGGCACTGTCCTTTATTCGCAGCGCTGCAAAGGCGGGGGTCGAAATGATGACCTTCGACAATGCCGATGAGCTCCATAAGATTGCGCGTACGCATCCACGTGCCAAGCTTGTCGTACGAATTCTCACGGATGATTCGAAGAGTTTGTGTGCCCTCGGGACTAAGTACGGAGCGCCGCTCGTCACGGTCCCAGGTCTCCTAGCCAAGGCTCGTCAGCTGAACCTCGACGTTATCGGTGTAAGCTTCCATGTCGGAAGCGGCTGCTACGACACATCAGCATTCTCAGATGCGATCATGCGTGCCCGGATGACATTCAATATGGGCAAGGAGGCTGGGTATGAATTTACCCTACTCGATGTCGGAGGAGGTTTTGAGGACTCGACCTTCGAATTGAGCGCGAAGGTCCTTTCTGACTCGATTGAGCATTATTTTCCAAACCGCGACTCGATCAGAATTATTGCAGAGCCGGGTCGCTTCTACGTGTCGGAGGCCTATCATCTGGCAGCAAACGTTATTGCGAGGCGTGCTCCCCTGGATGACGGGAATAATGAGGCCCACTCCGCCATTTCCGAAGACTCCAACACACCGGCTGTGATGTGTGCGTGCCTGAAATCTTACTTCCACCCCACCCCCTTTTCGGATTCTTTCATTTCCTCGTTTTTATGTTGCCTTTTTTTGGAACTTTCGCTCACACCGGTCTTTCCAGATTATATCAACGACGGCGTTTACGGTTCGTTCAACTGCATTCTATTCGATCATCAGATCGTGCATCCAAAGGTGCTTTCCCTAGGCGGCTCTTTCCACGTTCCGTCTTCGGAGCCACTTCGCACGAGCAGCGTATGGGGTCCGACTTGTGATTCAATTGACTGTGTCTGTCCAGTAACTCAGCTGCCCGAAAGCCTGTCTGTGGGCGACTGGTTAGTATTTGAGAACATGGGTGCATATACAGTGTGTGCAGCGAGTCAGTTCAACGGGTTTGAAGTCAGCAACGTCATATACACATCGGGAGGTGGACCAGGGTCGTCTGAAGTTCGTCGCGTACTCGCGGGGTCTTCCGTAATCCCGTCGGCCGGCGGTAGCGCGATCGGAGTCGACGGAAAAGCCGCATGATGAATGCGATTCGCGGGAAAGTCAACGGGACGGTGATACGACCGTATTCAGCATCTCAGTGTTTTAGACTTATGATAGATTATTTCCATTTGACAAACCTTACAAGGTGCAGGTTTTGGATAAAACAGATACTGCTTTTACTTTATTTACGTATGGACTAGTGGTTTATATTGTATAAAGAAGCGAGGAACTTATTTATACGGCTTGCTTTGCTTTTGTGGCCATTAGCATGTGGTTTGTGTCGCCGATCGTGTGTGTGTCACTGTGTGTGTGCCTGAAGCGAGAAATGCGGGATTAAATCGTCGATCAGAACAAGGATCTACCTTTTCCAAGGAACAAGGTCTTGCACACGGACAGCCATCGTTTGTGGGCGAAAATCCATAGACAACCCCTATCAGTGCGATTGATCGATGGAGCCGTGTGTATTCAGTCCCCCACTTTTCGAGAATTCGCGCTCACACTTTCGCACCCCTTCAAACACGCAAAGCTCGCAGGCTTTATTGGATAGCCGTTTCTTGGAAAGAAAAACACGTTTGACTGATTGTTCCGTACCCACAGCACAAAACAAAGACGGACAAGCAGAACATAACGGCGAGCATGCTGGCCGTGTGAGAGATGGGACAATGGGAGGAGACAGAAAATAAATTGGATATGAGGGTGACGAAATACCCACTCGTTTGGCTCGTTTTCGAGACACTTGTTTCAACGAGCCCCTGTATTATGTGTTACAAGTACACGCATAATTAGCAGCCAACGGAAGGAATACAGACACTTTATCTGGCGGAACGAAGGAGGCCACAGAAGTCGTTTCAGTAGGAGAAGAACCAGGAACGTCGAGTTTGTATTCGGTCTGCTCTGAACTCTCGTCCGTTGTGTTGTCATATTGGTGAAGCACACCTACTGTTGTGTTGCCATGCCTGGTGGCGCCCACTGTGGATGCAAAGAACGACCACCACGTGGGATTAGTGTGACAGAAAATGTGTCACACGTGGCATCGTGGGAAACTTATCCACGCGAGAGCCAAACTGTGTGCCTTCTTGAGCGAAGTCGATGATCGGTTTATTCAGATCTTCGGTTTGCCGTACGTATGAATTTCCGAGAATATGGAATTTTATCACTATTCTCCATTTTATTTGTTGTGACCCCGTCTCCGGTCATAATACTTCTTAGCCACGCTTCATCTTCACCCGCCCTCTCCCAGATGCCCATGTCCCTTTGCCAAGTGCGCTTCACCAGCGCAGTTCCATAGCATCATCCCCCCTCCACTCCCAGCCTTCCCGTTCCCTCCTCTCTATCAAGAACTCCCATGGAGCCTTCCTCCCATGGTCTACTCCAGGTAATGCGCCTTCCTACTTGAGCTCCGTCTGTCAGATTATTTACTTCCATCACGCGTCTACGTAGGATGCTGGTTCCCCGCCTGCGGCGGGACGCTTCCGTCCCTATGCAAGCACGAGGCATAGAGTGACTCGGGGCCGGTACATCACTTCAAATGACAGGCGCGGCTATATGTGAGCAACTCTACTGTATATTGTTCCGTAAACTTATGTGCAAGTTTCGGCGACGACAGTCCCGTCTATGAATATCCTCTTAATGGCCAATGGATCATGATGGACATTGATGATGGCTACATCCTTTGGACGGGTATTTGGAAAGGTGGGCGCCTCTGTTGCATCATTTCTTCACTTCTGTTGACCTGCCTGCCCACTTTTCCCCCCTCCTAGCGCTCGGGAACGCGAAAGGTAAGCGTATACAGTTTCCGATTTCGACCTTCATGCTCGAGCTAAATGCGCGAGATATTTTAGCCGATATTGTAAAGATGCTAGAATCACAGCCCGACCTCGCCCCACAGCTCCGACGAGTTCGTGGAGGCTATCTGAAAATACAAGGAACGTGGATGCCCTACGAGGTGTGTATGTTCCGCCCAAACCCGGCTAAAATACGCGCTAAAATCACATTTGCTTCTAGGTTGCTCTACGCTTGGCGAGACGGTCAGTATATGTGCTTCAGACTACTTTCAAGTGCAGTCATTTATTTCCTTGTTTCAGAGTGGCGTGGACGATTCGTGAAGACTTGATTCCGCTCTTTGGGTATGAATACAAAATTGCTTATCTTTAATGTGACTGATTTATGAATGGATAGGCCGACATTCCCTTCAACTTGCCTCACACCGGACCAACCTGGATATGGTCAGATCTTGGGCAACCAGCAGGGCAAAAGGCGTGGCCGGCGAGCTGCCGTACCTTTGCCTTTGTCGGCAGGTTTACCTCCGCCGCAACCTTCGGATATTGACACTTCGCAAGGAGATACAGGTCAGCAGACGCGGCAGCCTGGTCCGTCCTCGCTCCCCCCTCTTTCGGCAGTGGCCACCGGCGACCATCCCTCTCATCTGTTATCACCGTCGCAAATCGCAGGCCCATCGGGCACAAGACACGATGATTACCGTGACGAGGGACATTACCCTGCTGAAAGCTCTCGGAATAAACGCTATGCATTTGCTCCGATATCATCACACTTTTCGAGCCATACTGGACATGGGCACAATCCGCCATCTATGGCACCTCCACCACTTCCGCCATATGGCCAGCATAACACATCGACTAATCAGTATCTATCATCGTCGTCTGGTCCCATACGCGATCCCGCAACGGTCGGTGGAACCTCTGGTTCGCGCGAGCGCTTCTCACCATACCAGAACGTCGGAACGTCTCGCCATCGCCCAGGCAGCGCAATGAACTCCGCATTTAGGCGGCCGTCGCCTGTGGACCTGCCTCCGCTTACTATCCCCTCCTCACGACAACGTGCAGGATCAGTCGCGGACACAAGCACACGATCTTCGGATACAGCTTTGGTGCACGTCGCCTCTAACTCGGGGACATCGGTACCAGTTGGTAGCGCAGCAGCGGCGTCCAGAACCTTACCGACCGCGCCCAGCGAAATAATCAATCTACCGCCCATTCACACTCATTCTTCCGCGTTGTCCGACATATCACGGCGTCGTTCAAGCAGTTTCTACTCATCCGGAAGTGGGAGTGGGTATTCACTTCCCCCAATATCTACTCTCAGTAATCTACCACCTCCAAGCAGTGGCAGCTCATCTTACCAATTCGATTCGGCGGTCGTACTCAGGCGCCTCGCGCTCGATGACGAAACGCTCGGACGATCGCGGCAAGCTAGCTTCGATGTGGTTGGTGACAGCGAAGGTAGCCATAGAGACGACCGCGACGACGACGACTCGGATACAATCGATCCCCCTACCGAGGAGCAGTTGTGGAAGAGACGCCGGTCGCTATCTGAGCCTCCGTCGCAACCGTGCGTAGCGACAGTTCACCTCTTCTAGACCGATCATGAAATTCCTTATTTTTTCCTCTTTTTTCCGTTGTGCAGAGATACTTTTCCGACGTCACAATCTGCATGGTCTGCTGCACCAGACATTGGTTTGAATCCTTCTTCCGGCATCCTACCACCACGCGTCCCGTCCAGCCCTTTCCCCGCTTCAGCGGTCTTTACAAGAAAGGAAGTGAATCGCCAAGGAGCATGGAGTCCACCAATTCCGTCGAGTCGGAGTGGCCCACCGATTGAGCACTACCAAGACCTGCATCCTTCAAAACGCCTGAAAGGCGAATCGACTCCTGTCGCTCAAGAAGTTCATGCATCATCATGTATGTCAGTCATTTTTCCTCATGTTCAAACTCATGTTTATATTTAGATTACAGTTGCGTCTTTGTCTCGCATTGAGCCATCGAGAGAACAGTATGGAGTGACACCCTCCGATGACATACGAAATCGGGATGTTTTGGACGAAGTTAGCCGGACGCCACGCTCTTTTACTGCCTCCATGCCAGCTGCACCCTGGCGGCCGCACACCGAATCACGAACGTCTTCGCCGTTGGGATACCACACATACGAAGGGAACCAGTCTCTACACATGCACCGTCCGCAGCAACCCGGTATTGAGTTCTCGACTTACCGTTTTGGTGCCAGTAGTCCTTCTAGACGGGAAGACGCGCAGTCTTTGACGCCTCCAGGTGGTCGAGGGAGTCGGAATGACAGGGCACCGGCGGACAGCTTCCATTCTCCTTCCCCTCGTTTGGAGGACCAACTAAGCAAGGGCAGCTGATGACTTATGTTGTCATCGAGGCCATCGGGTTAAAGAATTCAGTGCTCTGCACTGGAGACCTCGAGTCTTCGCGAATGTCATGGTTTCTTAATGTGCTTCCCATATTTCTTTACTCGCTCGACCAGATCAGTTGACTTGCTTTCGGAACGTTTGCCCTATCTTGTGCATCTGTTGTGCATGGAGTAGGCAAAAGGCCTTGCTATCACCTCACGGAGCCAATAGAACAACCTGTAGCAATTTGTGCCCTTGCGGCTGTCAAACAGGTTTCAGAGTTGTATCCAAAGGATCTAATTGTTTGTTTACCCTTTAATTGTTTATGCATTTGTATACATATCATTGCTCTTTACTTTCTTTTCTTGGTCCATAATTTTGATTACAACCTGATATTCTCGAACTTTAACCGGAATCTCCTTACGGATATACCTCTTCGGATTTGGGTGTACCCCTTACTATTAATCCGGCGACGGCCCTTCTATCACTTCCCGCATCCAGGAGCATGACTTTCTTCTAATTTCGTTGTCCCTGTAGCCTTTTACCAACTTAAACCATTCAGGTCACTCGCCACTACTTGACTGTATGTTCGTTCGTTGGTTCTTTATTCGGAGCACTGAAGTGCTGGTACCTTTGTTAGGATTATTCATCCCTGATTTCCACGTTCCAGGTCTTGGTTGATAAACCAACGCTATCCGAAACCGCCTAGCCGGGCGAAGTTGCCTAGACGTGACTAGGAAGTCTTTCAATGCGTTCACCTCCTACCATCAAAGGGACATCGATATTACGGACTCTTGGGACATTACCTAGCTTCCATCTTACAGAAACACTTCACGTTCTTTCTAATTATTTTCGCCGGATCGGACTCTCATCTATACCGGATGTCATCCCACATGAAGCTATGTAACTAGTGCTTGTGTATAATCTTGGTATTTCAGCAGTGTAAAGTTCTAGGGTCATCGGACTTCTTGAGCCGCTAGCTCCCCTTCGTAAAGAGTTCGATGTTCCTTGCCAGGTCAGAATAAGCGAGAACAATAACGAGCGGGTTTTAATGGCTAACGGAAGACGGAACGGACCCAGACTGATCGAGAATTTCTCGAATGCTGAAAACGTGCCATACGTTTACCTCCACTGCGTGCGAGGCGGACATCGAGATCTTAAGAGGTAAATTCCCATCAATGATCTTCTCCGCTTCCTCGACCTCGGCCATGTGTCATTCCCATGAACGTCCAGCGGAGCTCTATCAGAATCGCTAGACGCCCACTTACCATCATTTCGACAAAATAAACTTCGGCCGCTCAAACTGCTTGTGAAGATGTGGAGATGCAAGTGGAAGAGGAGATATCAAGCACCGAACCCTACTAAGAAACGTGCCGTTACTGTAGTCCCATGAAAGTAATTCGGAGACTCAAGCAAACGCTGACATGAAGAGGTGACAATTCGAGTCGGGTGAAACGGACCTCTGTTATATCATGATGCTGAAATGATAATCGGAGGAAGCTGCTTCGCATTGACTGTCTTCGCACCTCCTATGCCTCGGTCCTGGCTTATTGTCTTGAGCGTCCTCGAGAGAATCTTGTGTTGAATTCCTTTCAGCATGCCGAATGGGGTTCTTGGTAAACATCTTTTTCACAAGAACTTTGCGGCGGCACTTATTAAATTCTTTCTCTACTCACCGGAATTATCCTGAGGGGTCGTTCAGTCCACGGAGTCATGTTGTTCCCGATGCCGACGCACTGGTTGCAGCCAGAGATAATAATGGCAGTAAGCAGAGAGAGATACGGATCACGCAAGAGAATCCGACCACACTTCCTACGTTAGCATTTGAATACATAGAAAGCTTCTTCTGCCGCGCCTCCCTGTTTCCACTAGCTGCGGATAAACGAACCCAAGCGAAAGGGCGGGATAGTTCCTACTGTTCATTTCCAGCATCCCGAGGTGATGGGAGTAGGATTCTTGCCGTTTAGAACCGGCTAGAGGGTCCATTTCAGGAAACGTCGAAGATCGAATATCCTATGGCAGCATGTGTACACAATACAGCTAGAGAAGAGTCTGCTTCGAATCGGAAAATGCACATACAGAAGGTTCAGTAAGCGGGCGCGCGATAACCGTGCGACGTAAATACTTGAAGTCACCACGCTTACCTCCGTCTACCTGTTACTTCGAGAAGCGACCTCATTTGGCATAGACCAAGTCCAAACCATTGGCTTCCACACTGCCCTCGCACACAGTCGCCTATAAATGACTAGATCACAGAAAGCACAAGTGACTAGCCAGTCGGCCTACACAGCAACTCGGAGTGGTGTTCCGTGTCTGGACAAGCCCATCTCAGATAACAGAAAACATACAGGTGGCCTAGACTGAGGGAGACAACCACATTGAGAAGTACTTTTAAGCTGCGGTGCTATGACGAAGGAGCCTCGGCAAGTGGTCTGTACAGTACAAGGCTTTTTTCCTTCCTTTGAATTTTAGCTGCACACCTGGCATTTCCTAATATGGTAGTATAGTCTATCACGTGACTAAGCGATCACTGCAGTGCCGCTGGTGTATGGGCAAAGTACATGAGCCAGTTGTGCTGCTCTGTTTCCTTCTGTCATCACTCGTCGAACAAACGTGAGCATTTTCCGAGTAGTAGAGCATCATTACGCTTCTTGGGAGACTGTGGAGCCGTAGAAGGCAGAGTGCTTCTTACGGCACAGATCACGACTATCGGGCGGAGGCGATTCAGTTACAGCCCTTGCAGCAGCAGAACTCATTGCCTGACTATTCTCGGTCTGAAATAATGAAGTTTAGGCAAGCAACACCTCCAAATAATGCTATGATGTGTATGATGACAGCCAGGACAGCAACTCTCTTAAGTTTAATGCTGTGGCGGATTGGTGGGACGAATACATCGCGTGAGGTCATTTCAAACAAATAACAGCGTTATTAATTCTAATAGGGATGCATCCCCAGATATTCAGCTCTGAAGAAGAGTATATATCAGCTTGAGAAGAGACAACATGAACTTCGAAGCCAACACCCTGACGACATCGAGTCCAATGAGCGTTCAGCTCTAATGGGCCATGACGGGTCTTCACCAACTGATAGCTTCTTCGTCCCACTTCTGGATAAAGAACTGCAGAAAATAACCAAGTTCTATGAGGCGCAGGAGCGCACGCTCTTAGCAGACCTCGAAGGTCTAGAAGAGCTGGTTAAAATGAAGGATGAGGAGAACGTTTCTGACGACCGATACGTGGATGAAGAGGACGACGATGACGATGATGACGATGACGATCGGAACAGGAAGTCTCTGAGCCGAGAGAGGGGAAATAAGCGCCCCATATCGCCCCGCAGACGTACAAAGTCTGACGGAAGGATGCATCCGCCGCCTGGTGCGTTGCGAGCTAAGTTATCATGATTCTCTAGACTAATCTTTATTAGCTGGCCTAATTGCGTCAATGTCTCAGGACTCAGCAAGATCAAAAACTTTACGCCGACTTAGCGTATCCTCGAGTGAAGACAATTATGATCTGGAGGCCAGCCTTGCATCTCTTACTCAAATTCCGGAGGGCAATGCGATAGGGTCTAGTACAGGCGACCTCCGTGGGTCGTCAACTTCCCCAGCACGTGCACGAACTGCTTTGGCTAACATTTTTAACGTCGTGAAACCCACGGGAAGCGTACGTTCTTCGCTTATTGGGAAGGACACGATTTGGACGTCGAAATCGAGCTATGCCTTCGATACCCGGGCCCTCTTCAAGAGGCGAATAACTATTCTATATAACTCACTTACGTCTTTGAGGGCGTACGTGGAATTGAATTATTCTGGTTTCCGAAAAATTCTTAAAAAGTACGAAGATTCAAATCTTCTGTGTATTCTTGAACTTATTTTGTACCGCAGGTACGACAAGATTACATACAGTGAAGTAAGGTTTATCACGTCTCCCCCATTTGCTCGTCTGAAGGTCGACTATCGTTATAGCTCAAAGATCATTACATGCATGATGTAGTTGAGGATGCATACCCTTTCCGACAGGTTACGAAAGATAGATTGAATAATGCCATTAACCGTCTAGTCCTTCTGTACGCGAAGTGCATTACTCGCGACGATGTATTGGCAGCAGCACGCCAACTTAAAGTATTCCAGCGCGAACACATTGCATGGGAAAGAGACACTGTGTGGCGCACGATGATCAGCCAAGAACGGCGTGGTGCGCACGACGGACAAGTGAAGGCACTCGGCGGACATGTTGAACAGGAGGAAAGTGCGGCACTGACCCTTCCCACTCCAGTTGGACGGCTCAGGTTTACGGCCAAAGCCGCCTTTTTCGTCGCAGCTGTTATTGTCTTCATAGTGCTGTTGAATAGCCGAATTTATCCCAGCACGGAAGCAAATAACTGCTTCGCGATACTCGTATTCAGCACTGTACTGTGGGCGACTGAGGTGTGTTTGTGTTCTCGTGATTTCCCTGTTTTTGAATTAAAGTTTGCTTCAGGCAATTCCATTGTTTGTAACGTCCATACTTGTACCGCTGCTCCTCGTCATTTTCCGCGTCTTTATCTCGACCGACGGTCAGGGAACCCGTTTGACGACTCCGGAAGCAACGAAGTGCGTGTATGTTATTTTGTCTGAGTGTTAAATACTCACAGAATTGCCAGATTTGTTTTTTCGCAGATGTTCTCGCCAACAATCATGCTTCTAATAGGGGGTTTCACTATCGCCTCGGCATTAAGCAAGACAAATATCGACCGCGTCATAATTACACGTTTATTGAGTCTGGCTGGGACAAAGCCGAGTATTGTTCTTCTGGCATTTATGGGTGTATCGTGTTTCGCAAGCATGTGGATAAGGTAGGTTTGAAACTTACCCTTAGTCTTATTTACTAACCCTCGTAATTATTTCAGCAATGTGGCCGCCCCAACGTTATGTTTCACCTTGATTAAAGTGAGTTTTATTTCTAATAATGAACATCTCTTTGTACTTACCGCCCTTCAGCCGATTCTTAGGAATTTGCCTCCGAAAGCCAGCTTCGCACCCTGTTTGATAGTAATAACGCCCTAGTCTTCTGTCTGATTTGAGTTTAAACTTATGCACATGCTTTTGTCTACTTTCAGATGGGGATTGCTCTAGCGGCTAATATTGGAGGACAAAGTTCGCCGATTTCTTCGCCACAGAATTTAATTGCTCTGGATGAAATGGATGAACCTCTTGACTGGAGCCAGTGGTTTGCTGTCGCCTTGCCGGTATCAGGCATTTCAATCTTACTCATCTGGCTGTTGCTTCTGACGAGCTATTCGCCCTCTCGTACTGTGGACGGGGAAGATCTCGTAATTAAAGAGATACGACCTACAAGGGAGAAGTTCACTCTGAAACAGTACTGGGTGACATTCGTGTGTATCTTCACAATAGTACTATGGTGCATCGAGAAGAAGATAGAAAGTTTCATTGGTGACATGGGTATCATCGCCATAATACCTATCGTCACATTCTTCTCTACTGGCGTGCTGCGGAAGGTATGAAACCCGGCCGCTTACACGTTTCAAGGACTAATTTGTTGTACGAAGGATGACTTTGAACAATTCCTATGGACCGTCGTATTTTTGGCCATGGGAGGCATTGCTCTCGGTAAAGGTGTGACAAGCTCCGGTCTGCTAAGCATCCTGGGCGATGGGATCCGAGACACCATGGGCGGACGTCCCTTGCCAGAGGTGGTTTTGGCGCTAACATTTGTTGTCCTGGTGAGCCTGTCGGGGAAGCCAAGTCGCCACCCAAAATTCACGCGCACCATCGCAGGTCATTTCTACCTTTATCAGCCACACTATTGCCAGCGTCCTCTTAGTACCGATCGCTAAAGAAGTGGGGAACAACTTACCCGGTAATCACCAACGCCTGCTCATATTCCTTACGGGACTTGTTTGCTCCACCGGCATGGGTATGCCTGTGTCTGGATTCCCGAACCAAACGGCGTACGTACAAAGTTCACGAATCCTCTCGATCAAACTTTTTAAATACCTTTACGTTTCAGAGCAACACAGGAGGACGACCTGGGTCAATTGTACTTATCAAACGTTGACTTTTTGAAGAACGGCGTTCCTGCGAGCATAATTTCGGCTTTGGTAAGTTCTTTGACGCTTCCTTTGTTCATCTCCAGCGCGTATTTTGACATGTTCTAAAGGTGGTTGCTACGGTTGGCTACGGCTTGATGCTCGCTTTGCAGTATGTCCTTACTCTTCCGTCTTTGGAACATCTGAACCTTATCTTGCGAATTCGAATCAGCCTGTAACGACCGACGTCGAGGCGAGCAACCGTCGTAATAGAGAAGCCTCGACCTTCGTTAACGACTAAGTAACTAACTCCTGTATCACCTCCTCCCTTCGGCAAAGGGGGCTCGAACATTGGCGGGAGCTTCTCGATGCACGTTTTCGACAACCATGTAGACGCGGAAATTCCGCATTTATCTATTTTTGGATGCTGCGTTTGAGCTTGGCAGATATATTTACGTTCCACGTTGCTTGATGCTGTTTTTCTGCTTCACGACCGTGACTTTTAACGCTTAGACGTTTCAAATACTCGTGCTCGACAACGTGCTTTTTATTTACATGCTCTCGTAGGCGGGATAGCATTCACGTACTAATTATCAAAACAAGAAAAGGCCTATTTCAAATATATAGATAGTACAAGGTCATACAGGGCTTGTACTATACGTACAAATTGCAAGATGAGACACAGAACAGTGGCATGTCGATGTCGTGAATGGTCGTGTAAAGGCATTCGTTAGTGGTCGTGAAACATGAGTTACTGGTCAAGATAGGGGGGACAATCAGAGAGATTGAAACTTAATGAGTAAGACGTGGGTATTAACGAGCGACCCGAGAACCCGAGAGCGGAAAAAGCAAGACAGGGCGGAGATAGCAAGGGCATAGGCGTGCATCAATGCCGACATACGACGTATAGCGAGGGAACCAAAATAAGATAGGCGACAAAAAGGAAAGGAACGCGGTAAAACCGATGTTCCTGCCCTTCCCCTCGCAATTTAAATACTTTTCTCAATAGCGGGGGGCTAGGTAGTGGGGTTAAAATGGAAGCGCGGAAGTCGAAGACGATCAAAGATACGGGGAAGGAAGATGGCCCAACGAAGCAATGCCGGTGAAGTGGGCGCGCTGCCAAACTGAACGAACGAGCGCGAATAGAGCGCTGCAACATAGCAGAAAGTCCGAGAGGCAATATAAAGCACTGAGTAGAGCATGTTGATCGCGTATGGCTGTTGACACCGGGTATTGGCAATGAATGGTATCAATTAAGTTGTTCCGGGGGGAGTGCTGATCTTAGGTGAGGAGATGATTAAGGCTTCTTTCCCGCCAGACGCTTCAATATTGTGGAGAGAACGACGGCACAGACACCAAAGCCGACCATAAGGACGTAAGACCGAATTCCATTCTCAATCGGATCCCATTCATGGCCGTCAAAATACCTTCGCCAGTCAGATCCGTCATCAGGGTGTGGGGAAACCAAGTGGTCGGAGTCTTGAACGCTGGCCGAAGAATGTTGTGATATCGGTGTAGAAGCTGAAGAACACTCTATGGTGCCAGCGGCGCCGTCTGTCTGAGTAAGCTTCGATTTTTCGGACGGAGAGCCGAGCTCCATGCTTTCTTGATGAACTTCCACTTGGATAGATCTTGATTCCATTGAAATTACAGGCACGGGAACTGGTGCGGGTGCGGATGCGGGATGAGTGTCGGTCCCAATGCCTTGTGATCGGTGTTCTACGTGTGCCTGCTCCGCGTCTTTCTGTTCCAGAATGCTAAGCTTCTCCTCAACTTCAGCGATTCGCTTTCTGAACTGTTCCAGCAGAGATAAGGCTTTCTCTAGCGAGTCAGGATCATCTGACACAGCTGCGTCGGCGTCTCGATCGTCAGTCCGAGCGGCAGCCGGCTCCGGAACCTCCACATTAGTCTGTGTGCTCCTGTCCACCTTCTCAACGACCCGGAACGGCGATGTACTAAGGATCGGTGATGGCACACTCGACTTGGCTGGAGAAGGGAGAGGACGCGAGGGTAGGGGACGAGCGAATATGTCCCTAATCTGCTTATGCGTCTCTGCTTTACGGGCATCACTTGTTTTACCGCTACCAGACCGAGAATTTCCATAATGCTCAAAGATATCGCCGTGAGTACCAGACATCTTGTCTTCGTTCTCCGGACTAATGCGCTTAACGGTTTCACCAATGTTTATGTCCTCCCAAGCCTTAGCACCCCAACTATCGGACATCGAAAAGGAATTCGAATTAAGTAAATCCTCGACTGACGGTTCTGCTTCGCGACTGGCGACTTCGTCGCTCCCATGTTTCGCATGAAGTACATCTACAGGCGGGACAGTTGGCACAGGTAAAGGTCGTTTCGCGTATTTACGCGAATTGCGATCTTCAATGTCACTGGCCTCCGACCCGCTTGCGAACGCTGCTTCCTCATCGGCCCAAGCGCTAGGGATAACATCGCCTTCACTCGTGGAACTTCCGTGGTTGCTAAAGCTCGATCCGGAGCTAGACGTACGCTCGAGGCTTGCGATGAGTCCACGAACGCGACCTTTCCGCTCGTTCGTCTTATTAGGAGTTGACTCTTGTGAGCCAGATATTTCGTCAATAGAAGACGAAGAAGAATTGAAGCAGTTTCTGTAAGGTAGAACCCGCGACGACTCATTAGCATCATCCTCGATACCCCAGATACGTCCTTTCAAAACGTTCTGACGGAGGTTTCGGGAGGCATTAAGTAGTGCCTCACGCCAGAGATTGTTGATCCCCATTCTATCAATATAAGTTGCTTAGATTAGCTAGAAAATAACCGCAAGAGAACAAAAGCTTACGACTCGAGATCCTGTTCATTGAGACGGAGGAACGACCGACCATTGAGACGAGCTTCCTTGACGAAAGCCGCGATGTCCTTCGCAACCTGAAGCGGCAAAGGCAATACTTCGCCCGACCTCACACGAAGAGCAGTTATCAAGTAAGAAGCAAGCTGAGAAGTTGTCCAGACTCTCGGATTGGAAGGAAGCTCATCAACTTTCACCGGGGAGGGTGGGGGCGGGTTCGGTGTACTCGGGAGTGTATCTGCCCTCGCTCTCACCGACACTGACGGAAAAACCAATTCTTCTGACGACGTGTAGCCATGTCCCTTATAATTCTTCGTGGGTGACGATTCCAATGAAGGTGGTATAGGGAGAGGCCTTGGAGAAGGGCGAGATAAGTCTGACTTGCTGTGCCGATGCTTAGCAGTTGTTCCGCCGGGACTCGGTGTATTGGGTATATAAACGTGTTGATGAGATGCCGCATATCCAGTACTATTCGAACGCGTAAGGATCGCGCTCGATGTTGTCTTGATGGCGTAAGGATACCGATTGGGCGTCGACGACGTATTGCTTCGTTCGCCCACGACGGGGAACGATTTCTTCTCCGGAGAAGTTGCAACCGCTGAAGACATGTTTGCACCGCAAGACCGCGCAAAGCCGAAATCACAGCCTATCGTCTTGCTTTAGGCTGTACAACGACGAGCCTTGGCCTTGAGAGTGCTTGCGGTCGTGGTGGACGTGGACGAGAACCTGAAAGACGACACGGAGAAGTCCCAAATGGGGCCCCTGAGTGTCTGTGTATGCATGACCTCATCTCAGCGCACGTTTCCCTCGTTTCTTCCATGTCCTCAAATGCTCCCGGTCCGTCTAAACAGTCTCTTAATCCATATCAGACTTTTCCATCAACAAACACCAAAGTATGTGTGGAAAATAGGAGAAAAAGAATGATTTTAATGGTGACATTTCACAGAATGAACGGCTGAAATTTTCTTCAGCTCAGCCATTCGTACCGACCTTCGTAGAATCTCACCTCAGCAAGTCAAGAAATCTCGATCCAAAGGCTCTCTACGAAAACAGAGTCAAAAACAAGCCTATTCTTCTTGAGAACCCTGCCCGTGACAGTCGACTCAAACAACAACGCGAGGAGACAAAGAGTCGCCGAGCGAAGGAACGAGAACGAAAGAAGTTGGGATTGATCAGTAAGAAGGAGGCGAGGTTTAAGGCGCTATGGAGATTCGAGAAATCACAGAGGAGGTTCGCTTTTGTACTCGCATGTTGCGAAAATATGAAAGCTCATTATGAAGAACAGATATGAACTGTTTGTTCCGCTCCATCATTTATGGCTGGGCTACATGTCTGAATTGCTCGGACTCGGTCCTCTCCCTACAAAACTGCCCGAAAATCCATCAATGCCGAACTCTGCATCTATGCATCCAAAACTCGTGAAAGCAGATTTCCATGGTTCTATACTTAGAGGTAAGTGATGAAAACAGTTTAAGTTATGTTACCTGCATGTTAACTTCTGAACATTCAGTGAAGCAAGCGAAGAATCCATGCCTCGTGGGATTATCAGGAATAGTAGTTCACGAGACTGAGAATGCCTTCAAAGTTATATCCATAAAGGATCAATTGAAACGTAGGTCATGCACCATTCGTTTTTTTGTAAAGTTTCTCACCAGTCTATGCCAAGTGATCCCAAAGCAAGGCTCCATTTTCACATTCAGGATACCTTTATACGACGTACGTTCCCTCGTGTCAACTCCATCATCAAGTGGGCAATCAGATGATAGAAGTGCTGCATTGGGATCCCAAACGTTGGATCTGAATGCTATTCCTCAAATGGAGTTTGAATTGTACGGAAACCAGTTCAGGTTCCGTGCAGCGGAGCGGGCAGGAAGGAAGTTCAAACCGAAGGACACGATTGAACTATAACTTAGCAAGGCGCTTTATGTGTTCGCGTATTTTGTGTCAGAGTATGTGAGTGGCACGGTTGAATTCTGCAGGCTGATGCTAGATTGAACATGACCGTACCAAATCTAGATCTCTCAGTGAATTAAAATCGGGCGAAGGCAGTTCGGCCTTCGACTATCGTTCAACTCATGGCTGCCACTCATTGAACTACATATTCAATATGCACTAGCCTAACAACAGAAGAAGCCCGTTGCTCATATATCTGTGCGGTTACTTTCCATCGTTTTAAGGAGTTGGACATGCTCAATTGAAATGGCGGTCTGCATTCGATCCAGAACTGTCAAGACAATGCAAGATATAATTGGTAACAGGCATATATTCTACTTCCGATAAGAATTCGGGCATCAGTATAAATGGACAACTCGCAAACAAGGACCTGAACTGCGTTGTGTAACGCCCCGGAATTAGGGACACTTAATCAAAATGATAGCTACCTCCATCGATGGTGATAGTCTGACCTGCAAAGAGCAGACACAACTCAGTACTGTGAATAAGACGTGAAATGGCACATACCATTTACGAAATACGATTCTGGCTTCGCGAGGTAAGAAACTAAGCCTGCGATAACCTCTGGTTTCGCGATCTGCCGGACGCTCACGGTCTATGGAGATAACCCAGTGAGTGCAGAAGTTTTATACGTCTTCCTTTTATTTGGCTCACCGCCTTTCCCGCAGCTTCATCTTCAATAACCTCATTGGCTAGGAAGAGTCACACGTCAACAGGTGTGCGTGTCAAAGTAATTAGGAATTTGAATGTGAGACTTACCCATAGGTGTATGAATGATTCCAGGAGCATATGCATTGGCCGTGATTCCGTACTTACGCAGATCGATTGCTTTATCGTAAGATCAAGGGATGAAAGTGAGTGTATTATTTTTAGTGCTGTAATAACTGCAGCAGCTTACAGGCAGACTGAATTAGGCCTCGAACTGCGAACTTCGAAGCTGAATAAGCTGATACATTACCCAAGCCTGTCTGAAAATTAAGCAGACAGTATCGGAGGAATACAAGAAAATTCTCAGTACCCTGCTTGCCTGCAGCCGAACTCGCCGCTTGACATGGTACAATTATATAAGTAAGATGCTGGTGCAAGATCTTCAATGTGCGTGGCGAACCTATTAGTCGTCCACCGCGTCTTTGCTTTACCATTTGCAAAGCCGCATGCTTGAGACAGAGAAAAACTCCGCGGACGTTGACGTCGAAAACATCGTTAAACCTCTCGACAGGGACTGACGTGAGGAACACATTCATGAGTTCGTGCATACAGGTATCAATAATTCAAACCTACGTTCAAGGAATTCGCTGATGAAGAAGACCCCTGCATTCGCAACCATCTGCGTGACGGGTTAGATGCAGACTAAATATTACAGTAACGGCCACTAACAATATCTACGCTCCCGAGGTCGCGAACTGTACTCTCGACTAGAACGACGACATCAGGTTCAGAGGATACATCACCTGGGACAGCAATTGCACGTCGACCCTTCTGGCGAACTTCTTCAACGACAATATCCAGTTCTTTCTGCTTTGCGGGTATATCGTTGACAGCGACGTCAAAGCCGTCATCTGTTAATCTGCGAGTGATAGCATAACCTATTCCTTGTGCACCACCTGTGACGATTGCAACCTTTGGTGCATAGGTATCAAACGAGATTTGCGGGGCCGAACTCATTGCAGACAGGAGGAATGATGGGATATAGTCGAGCAAGGTCGATTTTCATCCCAGTTTATATATGCTTTCAGACCTTGGAACTCGAGTTATACTTAGTTATGTCGGAGGCTTGAAAGCCAAGGAACTCGTCGATTTCACGGCATAGCCCAAGCGCCGAGAATTCCGGCTAGATTGATGCATCTTGAACCTTGAACATAGCAATCTGATCATGATCAAGCATATGATAACGATTGGGTATTAAAAAGACACATAGTGTCTGTAGAAATATACCAGCGCACCCAAAAGAAGTGACTTTGCTTTCTCGGGAGACAGCATTTAGATGTGAAGGATAATGTGGTTGAATTGGGGTTACCTGCTATATGCTACCGTCCATTCTAATGAAACAATCAACTGTTCGCTGTCTTTAAGAAAAGTTGCTTCGCGAAATGCCTCTCAGCATAAGCAATTTAGTTACTGCAGACCGATAAGCTGGGATTGCTTGTCGCTGGAGAATATCGATTTCCTGCAAGACTGCCTAAAAATCCAACTAAAACAAACTCTACATTTGTTCACAATACAATCATGAAAGTGTATTCTCATGTCCTATATTTGGAGGCAGTTGAAATAATGATACAGACTGTTATCTTCATGTCAGCTTGTGACCATCCGGTGAAAGGGGAATAAGCCCTGGATGCATTCAAAGTCATAACCATCAAGAACTGTTTGAAATGTAAGGTATATGTCATGTTGTTTCTCAAAAAAGTTGATAACAAAGTGCCATTTTTGTATAAATGATTTCTTCATGCAATATTACAGTAACAGGTGTTCATATCGCGTTATTCGGCAACTCGGAGGGGTAACTCACACATGGCTGTTTGAACGACTCCAGGGGCATATGCATTGGCTGTGATTCCATACTTACACAGGTCGATTGCTTTATTGTATAGGAATCAAGGGGAAAATAAATTTATGAATTATTACTGTGATGGAATGCTGCAACAACTTACATGCAGACTGTATCAAGCCACGGACTGCAAACGTCAGGGAAAAGTCCATTTTCTTATATAGCTTTATAGTTCTTATATAGTAGAATACACATTATTTATAAATTATATAGTAACTGTAAGAATTTTAATAAGGTTATAAAGTAAAGATAATTCTTATACATCTTATAAAGGTTCTAAAAGTATTATTAATGAATATAATACAGTATATGTATTATAATAGCTTTATATATTGAGTAAATATATTTTAACAAAAATATATTGAGAGTAAATACTTTATTATAGTATTTTACTTGAAGAAAAAGACTTGTGTCTACTATATAATATAATATAAAAGCATTTTCTACACTTATAATGTGTACTAAAGTTCTATTAATGTTTATAATAAATAGAAACTCTGTTTGAGAGGTTATAAACTTAATAAATGTATAGTACTCAAATGTAACATGTATATTATAATAGTATAGTAAATATAAAGTGAGTTACTTAGCTTATGTAATGGTTGAATATCACATGGGACTTTACTTAAATCTTGAGTGCCACACTCGCCCTCGTCGCTTGCCTTTGACCTCTGCCTACCCTCAACCCTCTGCCCTGTGAATGGTGGCACTCGTCGCTTTTGTTCCCTCCAGTCCAGTCCTCTGCTTGCCAGCAGGCACACTGCCTGCAACTATGTAGACAATAAACATCGCTGCACTCGTCTCTCTAATCAGTCGTTGTGATGCCTGTGTTGAGCTCAGATCCTGCAACGACACAACCCAGTACCATACCATACCATACCATACTATACAGCTGACTTCAGCGTCCCCTTCCGCCTTCAACATAAAGTGTAAGCAGCCAGTCCATTTCATAATAAGCACCACAATAGATGCTCATCTCTCTCTCCCCAACTTTTTTGTCTCCCTTCTGCTCCTCTGCAGTTGCCTCTCCTTCGTTGTCCTCCTTTTCTTTTAGTTTGCCTTCCTTTTTGAATTTGCATTCGTGCATCCGCATTGTTTCCAATGCTGAACGATTTCTTCAATAATTCCATGCATTCACATACTTCTTCTCGCTCTGCAGCACAAGCAACAATCGGCAAGCACACGCTTGCAACAATGTCTATGTACAACCACTCCCAAGGTGCAATCCTCTCTCCGACCCCTCACGTACTTTCCTTCCCCACCTGCCATTCCATGCTTGACATGCATTTACATTACCTAGTGCCGGTCATGACACTGTTTCGAATAACAGAAGCAGTGGCCCACCACTCACCCCTCCTGAGCTGAGTCCGTCCACACCTTCCACTTCTCCTCCTCCCTTCGAGCCAGAACGTCCCAGAGATACACCTTTGCAGTCATCCCCAACAACTCAGTTCACTGTACCTCTGATTGAAAGACGTAGTCAGAGCATGTAACGTGCAGGTACAAACACAGCTTTGCCTGCAGCCCAAATCATCTCGTTCAACACTCTGGATCACGACCCCGGTGCACCGCTCACACTCGCTACACGCCATTGCAATACATCCATCTCTTTGCTCCAGTTAGCTACTCACATCAATGCTAATACTCATGCTCACACCTTTAGCCAGACAGTCTCACAACTTCTCTCACAAGCACAACCTCAACCTACACAACACGTACAACCTTACAACTGACAGGCACACACAATTCAACTTGCAGGGACTGAGCAACGACTAAGTCTTAGTGACTAAGACCACATCAAACGACCCAAGAACACATTCATTGTCTTCTGTTACAAATGCTGTTTGAAAAAGAACGAGGCAGAGGCTGCACTACCTGCAGAAGACAACCTGGTCACACAACATCAGTGTTGAGCTGACCTCTCCAAAACGATCTCATACCAATAGTGTTTGCTGTTTGTAGAGGAATGTAAATACTGGGGCAAACTTGCAAAGCAGAGGAAGAAAGAGCATGAGGAGATGAATACCCATGGTATGTCTATCAGTTGTTGTGATTTGTGTAACCTCTGAGGTTACACACATGACTTTAGTTAAGTATATAAAGGGCTATTTGTAGACACTTAGAGATTATCTTTGTACTTGCTCCTGTACTTAGGTCAACCTCTCCAATCCTAGGTCTTTGCCTGTTCTGTGTTCTTGAGTGAGGCTCCAGTCTTTACACTTTTTTTTGAACATTACAAAATTTGGGGATTACCTCTCATCTACTGCCTTTCACTTGTGCTACCAGATTGTTAGCCTCCCCCTAGCTTCCCCCTACACATTTACTATCTACTTTACATTTACAGTACTCTATAGTGAGACCCTAGTTAATTATGAGTGTCACAAATACTATACAGATATCCTGTTCTCTTTTAAGAGCTTATGAGAAGATTGTTACCACCTGCTAGCCAACCTTCAATCTCCTAACAGACCCTTATTAGAGGTCTCAGGCTTCTAGGAGAATGTGCCATAAAGATTGTATATGGTTGTACTAGAGTAGAGTGTATTGTGTGTTATTGTGAGTCTGGTCAGCTGTCTACAATTAAGGTTCTACTACTTAAGAATATACTTTACTGTACTACTTTAAGTAGATTATCTACAGACTTACTCTTACTCATAACCTTTCTGTCACTTGTCATAATCTTAAACTAGTGTTTAGAAACAAGCTGTAGAAGCCCCTACTATCCTATTCCTAAAATTGTTCAAGGAGAACACTATCTTAGTACTACTACTAAGATTAGAAGCTACTGTGTAATTACTCCACCAGAACACTGTCAAGAAACAAGCTACAGAAGGACTCACTGTCCTAGTCCTGAAATTATACAAGGAAGTACTATCTTAATACTGTTACTAATATCTGGAACTGTAGTATAATTCTCTTTAGGAGCTACAGGTTCTATACTGACAGATACTATTTCTACTAGTACAACAGATGTTACAATTAAGCTATTAACTACTACTACTAGTATAACAGATGTTACAATTGAGCTATCAACTATACTATATTTGTTGTATACTTGTTATACTTACTATAATGTGTATCTCTCTATTGTTAAAGTGTTTGTTAAGACAGTTTATTCCTTACTATACTATCTCTTACTCTGTCACTGTCTAGTATTTACTATTATTGTCTACTGTCTACTAAGAGTATAAAGTCCCTTTTCCTTCCCTTCCTGTTTCCTAGAGTATAAAGCCTCTTTTCTAGTCATAGACCTAGTCAGAGTACTAAGCCCCTACTAGTGTCAATTCTAGTCCTAAACATATTGTTAGTAACAGTATAGAGGGGACCTGAAGGCTTAGTGAGAGGACCCAGGCTATAACTATCCTATACAATAGAAATACAGAACACAAGTACTGAAACATAGTTAGAACTTGTAGAACAGGTAGAGAGAGAGAGTGAGACAAGAGTAGAGTATATAGAGTAAGCTTAAGAGTACAGGACTACCTAGAGTAGACAAGATCAAGACTACAGGACTAGTCTAATCTTATACACTTATATATACTAAACTATATAAGAGTACTCAGAGAGTATGAGCTACTAAGAATGATAAGCTACAAAGAATGAAAGAAAGGAA